GAACAGCAATCACGGACTTCCTCCTCCTCTTCCTTCATTTTTCCTTTTCCATTCTACAGGATACACCTTAAAGGCTACAGTGGAACAGCAGGCAAAATAAGCAGCATTGGGCAGCCAGGAAGTGATTTCAGTACAAAGGATGCAGACAACGACAAATGTGTTTGCAAATGTTCACAACTGACAACAGGAGGTAAGAAACAAGTTTTTGCAAATTACTTTTGTTTATGAATATTTCTGCTTCTTGGAAAACTACACTAATCGTGTTAATTAGCGATGGACACTTGTTGTGGAACAAATTCCCACCCACGCAAATCTTGGCACTTGCCCCAAAAATCTTCAAGGGCATCTTAAGGGCCGTCGTACTTTTGTGGCCATGTCAAAGAGCACAATTAGCTCAGACTTAATCACTGATCAACTCATTGGGGAATTCAGCTCCTACAATGGCTGACATTAATAGCCTGGGAACAGAGCTTTTCCCTCTCTCCTCTTGTAGCTAAAAGGTCCTCCTCCATTCCCCTGAAAGTGACTCTGCTGCCAGAAGTTTGTCTCCCTCTGTATTCGGGTCTGCCAAGTGACCATGAAAGCATGAAAACCTTAACCCTATCCCTTTTTTCCCATGAGGGGGTCTCTCAAAGGGGGACTCCATAGGCGCATTGTACACAATCGTGACTGAGTGGCGATGGGCCAGGAAAAGGAGTAAAGCAGGATGTGTCATTAAGAATCGGAAATTGCTCGTATCGAATAAAAAAACATTTAAATGAAGGCAATCATTCTGTATGTAAATGAAGGATACTCCTCTCAGTATAATGCCTTTCAAAACAACTCAACCATGAAGCTTTGAAATGGGAGCTCTGCTTTGCAGGTGATGGAGAGAGATGATGATTATGTGAAAAAAACAAGTGATATAAGGCTATTTGGAGTCTCATAAAGGGGTCTGGGAAATCTCATAAATCGCCTCAAGAGATGTCACTTGAGGCAAAATCTGAAACGAAGAAAATGAAGAAAAAAACATGTGGACCTCTGTATTGTGCTCTCTGCTTCACGCCAGCAGATTGAGGCTACAGCAACCATTACTAGCATAACGCACCTGAGCCTTGACTGCACTGTTGGTTATTGATTTCCATTGTAGGTCTTGACAAGGAAGAAGGCTACATGGAATGAAAAGATGATATCTCTGTTTCTGCTGAATCCTTTCTGATCCCATTTTTTTTTCTGAATCTGACAATGTGACAATAGAGCACAGAGCAGTTAAACATGGGGAACTCTTTCACACTCTGTTATCATAGAGCTGAATCAGCTTCTCTCATATATGGCTTCATAAATAAAATATACAAAGGAAGCCACATTGGACAGCTTCTACTCTCATTCACAGCCTTCTAGAACCGTATTTTACATGCATTAAAAATCGTACAAAGATGGCTTCGCTTAAAAAGAAGCTTTAAAATGTGTGATATTCGAGTTTATTCTATATCTCTGTCTGTGGTCATGGAAAATGTTCACACATGGGTCACAGAAGTAGCAGCCAAGAGTAAGAGAGACAACGTTTTATGTCCAGCTCTTAAAACAGATTCCCATGTATATTGTAAATAAAGACAGTAATCACATCCAAGTTAAAAAAAAACAAAAAAACCAACACTGTATAGATTGTTTTTGATTGATAGCATTGATAGCATTACATTTAAACTGACAATGTTTTGATGTTCTAGGCTGGTGGTTTGATGCCTGCGGCCCATCCAATTTGAATGGGATGTATTACCAGCAAGGGCAAAACTCCAACCGCTTCAATGGAATCAAATGGTACTACTGGAAAGGCTCAGGCTACTCACTGAAGTCCACTACAATGATGATCAGACCGGTGGACTTCTCGGGTTCCCTTTGAACCATCACACCGATTAAACAAAGTGGGGAGGAAATTCTGCCTGACAAACAGCAACAAACAGCAAAACCAAAAATAAAACTTCTCAAGGGAGCCAAAGCACTTCATTGTAATATTTTTAGATACCTTTGTTCATGTTTATGTCTTTAATAATTTGAATCAAATGGGTTGTTGTGAAATACGGACAGGTCAAAGTGACACTGTCAAATATCTATACTGAAAATACTCCTGCCTGTGGTGTGTATAGATAATTATAGGTATAGTAAATACATTTTAACAGCTAGCTAACCAGACAGGAGATGCCAGAGTGAAATGTGATATTAATTTAATTTCTTGGGTCATTTTAATATAGCTTAAGCACCCATTTAACTATGTTTTAAATGATAGCTGCCAATGTCATTGTACAAAAGAGACTATGGTACAAGATGCAGACAAACGACTGGCTCAAAGTGATTGTTATGTGTTGTAGAAAGACTTTCTGTTGAACGCCTAAAATGTAAATGCTAATGTAACAATGCCACAGAAACGGCTTCTCTTAAGATAACATTGTTTTACTTCAGAGAATGTATGTACATTTGTTTCTTTAATTTATATGTAGATTTTAAGATTGATATTTAACTTTATTATATATGAAGGAGATCTGCGACAGATCTTGACTGCTAGTTTCTAGCTAGTTAATGACTTCATTGCACACGAACTAAGAAGCATTATTTTAATATAATTCCTCAGTACTTTACTACATTTTAACAGGTTAAGATGACCTTTTTTGCAGTTTTTGGGAAAGTATTCTTTTTTTTGTATTTCTGTAATGTTTTTTTAATAAGTTACAACAAGCAGACTTCATGAAAAAGCTGGGCCTACGGGGGAATTTTTCACCAGTCAGTTCCGGCTATAGCAGCATCTGGCTGTAATGTTCTACTAGCTGTTACATACGTGAAGTTGAATATTAAACGCCAACCACAAAGCAGAGAGCTTAAGACAGCTGAGTTGTTGGTGACGCCTTAACTCTTAAGTCCAGTGAACAAGAACAAACAGCCTGTTAGATGTACACACCGCAATGTTTTCTGCATTTCTTCAAAACCATTTCTGTAGCTTCATCAAGTACAAAATGCATAATAAATTCACATGTTCCAAACTTGTGTTTTTTGTTGCTGCTTTTTAAAGGTTGATCTACACATTTCTAATTTGAATCATCAGAATAGTGATGCAGTTATACCTCGTGGCATCACAAAATCTGTATGTCATTATGTGTGGATATTACACTACATCGCGAGTTCGGGTGAAATCAATGAAAAAAACTGTTTATGTGTAAAATAACCAAATCTATATTTTTGGGATAACCCTATGGACCAATCACCTCACAACTGCAACTGATTTGGACCTCCCCTTCAGTGAAAATCAAGTGTTTTTGGGGGGATTTTTTTAAGGGGAAAAAAAAAATCAAGTATTTTTTAAAAATTAAAAATAAGTAAATAAATAACTAAATAAAATAAAGTGTTTTATATTATAACAAACACATTCATATGGTGTTTTACATATTTTAGAAGTCACATAATGAGCAAAATCAGCAGTCAATGCTATGGTTGAGCATTTTCCACCATGAAAATGCAATGCATGGATGACAGTCTTAGACACAAGGATTCAGACTCAGGCTGTTTCAGAACAACTCAAACAAACCAATCCTGTCAACTTGTATCATTATTCTTTTCAGAATTGTTTTTTTGTTTTGTTTTGTTTGCACATTCATATTACAACCTGCTATTGTGTAGCTTAGAGTATTTTTACAGTGTTTAAGCAGAGGTGCATGGAGAAAGCGGCTGGGATTTGTTAGAGCCGCACATTCTAAAGAAATCAATGGTGTTGGAGTTACATCTCAGTCATTTTCAGGCAGGAAGGGGTTGTTTTTGTGGAAAATCATTTATAAATATGTAAGATGGATACACAGAGATGGGTTTTTAGAGGTTTAATCAATGACTGGAGAGGGGCTTTCATGGCCTAACATAGAGATATCTAAGAGATAGGGAAACCACGAAACTACGTGACTACAAAGATCTGAGTTTAAGTGAAAGTGGCAAAACTATTTCACCTACTTGCCTCTCATTACTTGGATGCTTCAGTCTTTCAATCTTAGTATCAATTCAGTAAGGTCATACATTATTAATTGAACGCATATACTTTACTTTATATAACAAGATATGCAAAAGGTGTGAATAAAACCAACCGCTCAAGGCAACACCAAGCACAAAGCACAGAAACTGAATAAAAGAGGGAAGCATGTGGTTTGCCCAATGCTGGATGTGTCCATTGGAGAAAAGAAATGATCAAAAGCCGTAGGGGCATAAAGCTATTCTGTCTGTCACTACAAAAGCAATTATGCAATTCCAAAAGGAAATGTGCTGAAATTTGTCTACATCAGGTCTGCATATCTTCCCTCGCAGTGGCAGGAGAGGACACTGATTCATGAATGACAATCTCAGGAAGAGGCAACATCCACATTTCACACAAGACGCTTCAGGAAAAACAAGCGGACTGTAAACGGATGACTGGCAATAAAAATTAGCAGGTTTCCGTCCAACTTCCTTGGCTTGGTGTTCCAATTCTTTATTAGTTTGGGTGTCAAAAAAGAGTAGAGCAAAAAAATGATTTATGTTGGGAAGATTACATAAACAAAAAAATGATAATTCTGATTATAAAACCACAAAGATCTAAACAATTAATTTAATGAGTCAATATGCAAAGTAAAAAGTTTCTTGTAAACATTTTTAATTTAGGACTAAATGATCAGTTGGCAGTAGAAGAAGTAACTAACTTGATTTTTTTCCAGGATTAAAAAGGAAGCTAACTAAAAAACAATACAAAAACATGTATCCAAATTAAATGTACAAGTGTCGACATTTCTCTTGAACGTAATTTCTGTGCAAATAGAAGAACACTTTCTGTTGATTTAATGCTAATGAGCCAGATGGCTCTTGAAGAAGAGACAACTTAATTTTCATAAGACTTTTACTCAGTTAAAAGTTAAGGAATGAGCATCAAGTAGGGAAACATATTGTGGTTTACAGCGAAAGAGAGTTTCTATCACCAACACATTCACAGGTACCACTTGACTCATACTGCCACTCACCTGTGCTGCAGGAAACTGGTCTGAAAGTTCATAAGGTTCCTCTGGAATCCACTGCCTTTGCTCCAAACTCCATAGAATCTGCTCAAGGACAACAAAATTAAAAGACAGAAAAACACCTTTGCACCAGTTTTAGATGTGAACCTGATAATGGCTGCTAAACATTTACAGCCTACATACCCATTCAAAGGAGAGGATCCAACAGCCACGAGCTATGCCCAGCAGAATATTGAGAGTCCGTCTGTGTCCCCCAGACACCACATGAGTTGTGCTCTCACAAACTCTGTCCACAATTGAAAAACCACCCAGTGCTTTTACCACCTGAGTGACTGTGTGCTGCTTCCTACAAGAGGTGAATAGCGTAGGAAACATCCAACACAAATGATTAAACAAGTCAAGACAAGTTGTTTTTTTTTTTTTGCTAAATTGCTCATTAATGCGTTCAAATGAGGGTATATAAAAAGTATTTAACTGAAGACAAACAGTTACGTAAGCAGCACTTACTCAGTGGGCATGCTTGTCATGACCAGTGATCTCATCACCTGAAACAAAGATAAAAACACAAAACAGATGAGACAGGTAAAACTTTTTAAAACAATTTACTTTTAACATGAAGCTCAACTAATGCTAGTGTCTATGTACAAGGTTCTCACATCTATTGTATTTTTCTGGCGTACTTCTGAGCTTCACAGCTTGTTTTAGGAACAATAAACTGTACTGTGTAACAACATCCACATATTTGGCAACCAAATACATGTGGAGCAGCTATACAGTGTTGATAAAAGCACACATTTGGCTATATTTGTTTCTTGGAAAGAAAGCAGAAAACACAGAAAGAGTGAAACCTGCAAACTACACTTGACGTTGCCAAGAAAAGATAGCCTCTATGAATAAAAATAAACAAAAAACACTTGGATATTGAATGCATTTTGTGCTTTTGGGGTGTATGCATTGTGATTCTGATTTGTTATATGATGCTGCACTGAACACACGAAACGGGTCATTATTCAGAGACTGAACGCTTTCAATAATCCAGCAAAATATACAGAAGTTGCATAGTGATGAAAAAAATCAAGGCCATGAGTAGAGAAAAACACATTCTGACCCACTGAGGCTGATCTGTAAATTTGTAACCAGGATGACTGTGGTCCATCCAGCCACGTACTTTGGCCCCTGTCCAGCAACCTATCATCAACACAAACACCTGAGCAGCAGTCACAATCAGGATCATCAGGCTCTTTCCTGCCACTCTGATATCTGGTCCCCCAGCTGGAAGTCATGGGTTAAGGCCTGCTGAGCACAGTGGTGCCAAAACAGTCTGCAAGCCACACCCATGACAATCAAACATGGCACTTTCCCTGACAAGGCAAGTTGGGAAGTCATTGAGGTGGTTATCTCCATCAAATGAGCATGTTTTGATATTCCAAATTGTTAATGAACCACAACAAGGTTATCATGCGTTGACACTGCACGATTGGGGAAAAAAAAAGAGGAACAGAAATACAGCTTATTTTAAGGTCTTTCAAACCAAGTCGAACAAGTCAAAATACAGGCAGCCACAGTGAAGGTTCCTCACAAGGGACTTTGGCTTATCTAATGCAGTGGACATGTTCTGGCAGCAGCACAAGAATCAGGCACTGAAGAATGAGCTGCACATAATGAGCCCCTGACAAAGCTGGTGTGAACCGCAGCATGGCCACTGAGCACAAACACTTCCAGCACAAATGAAGGAAATTCTTCACTGTATGACTAGGCCTCCTTGATGGCTACCATTCAGCGCAGTGAACATGACGCTTTTCAGACAATCAAGGAGAGATGAGGGTCCCGCGTCTCTGCAAAACTTGAGATCCAATGGATCTACCATGAGAGGCAATTACGAATAGCAATTCTGGGAGTGAAAATGTGAGATAACTGCTTATCACTACAAAGGGCACCATCTATAAGGTAGTGGGAACAGATAGAAGACACCATTTTTTTCAAGCATTTCACATACATTTTTAAGTGTATGATAAGAACTGAAACGAACAAGGAGGAATGATATGTAGCAATGATATCCAGCTTCAGTGCCTTAGTCACCAGACCCCTAAACACAAACTTTTAAAGAAATCTTTATTCAATTAACCCTCTGAATACCAAAACCTAGGAATCAATCTCTAACTGAATCTCAAAAATTCAACTTTACCTTTTTTCTTTTCATGATAACTGTGTCTTGCAAAACATACAAGTTCTGAGTTCTCTCTATTTCTATCCATGGTTGTGCTGTTTCCATAGAGGTTCAGGACTTTCCAGTGAGTAAAAATGTGACAGAAGCAATAAACACCCAGAAACCGCTTGAGGCTCAATCAATAACGCCAGTAATGGTCAACTAGTTTAACAGTTAATCAGACAATTAATCAGTCTGAGTGATTTTTAAGAGAAAGTCCAAATTCTCTTATTCCAAATACTTAAATTAGAATATTTTGTTTTTGGCTTCTTTACTCCTTTGAGACAGTAAACTGAATATATTTGGGTTGTGGCCAAAAAAGAAATTTGAGGACTTCATCTTAGGCTTTTGGAAACACTTAAAAAAGAAAGAAAGAAAAAAAAAAGAACTATTTTCCAACCATTTATAGAACAAATAATTCATAATTTAATGGAAATAATTGTTAGTTGCAGCCCGATCTGACAGTAAAGTGAGGTAAGAAACACAAGTAAAGGATTAAGTGAATGTGTAAGAAAGGCCCCATAAGATGTGAAGTAAAAACACTGGATCACCAAAGGACCCCTATATATTTATTATTGAGAACAATTATCTGTTATAACTCTAAATCAATGTATTAATATTTGTATTCAACACATGTAATCTGTCATTTTGTTAAGTCTAACAGCAGGAACACGCGTTTGCACAGTTTTCATTTCCACTCTCAAAGTGAGTTTTATCATTGTTTACTGTTTGCACTTTCAAAAATTAGCAAGACTACCACTCATCATGGATCACTGTGTTTACCAGAACTGATTAAATTTGAAACAATATGCGGATATTAATCCATCATCATGAACTTTACAGGACCAGAAGAACGACGACAATCAGGCTATGATAAAGTTAACCAATAAAGGATCCCTGGGGGATATGACATCATGGTTGCTTTTGTCAGCTACAGCTTGTTGAGGTTACCAGTGTAACGAAAACAGAGCCCAGGTGCATTTCACAAGCAAGGAAGTTGTACGCTACCATCACAGAGGCAAAACACAGGAAGTGCTCCGACCAGACAGAGTGTCTTAGCTAGATGCGTCAAACGCCTGCAGCTATGGAAGTGAGTGACCTTACAGAGGAAATACTTAAAAAGGAATTTCATACACACTACAGATGTTTAGTTTACTTCCTAAGCTTCCTATATTGCAGAAGAATTTGTCTGTTTTTCCATTGTGCTTCCTTTTATGTATCTCTGTGATGAAGGAAGGATGAACAATGCAAAACTCTGACTGGTGGGAAGTAAGAATTTCACAAAACTGAGGAAAATATGTCACACCAACGTGTGTCTCAGAGTCGGCAACGTGCAAATTTGCAGGTACCAATGCACAACAAAGGAAGTACAAGCATTCAAAAGTAGGGGGTTTGGAACTAAAGCTGTTTACTCCCAGGTAACAGCAGCATCTGGAATGACTAAGAAAACTCACAATTGGTGACTTTATACGTGTAATATCCTGTTTTTGCAATCTCTGTCCAATTTTGCTTCCCACAACAGTCTAGACAATGTACCACCTACGTTCATTTATTTAAAAAAATAAATAAATAAAAGTCTTTAAATCCAATTATTGACACTAAACTACAGGATTGGATCATTAATACCATTTAGACTTTTCAAAACAAGCATGACGTTGTCTTACCTTTGTTTTGGTGACCATTTTCTGAAGACCTGAGCTGTCTTGCTTATTGTGATTTTCTTCAGCTTCAGATGAGACCTCTGTGAAACCAGCTGCAACTCTACATTCATTTCCTACATCTGAAAACAAGACAAACATTTTAAGAGTGGAGGGGCGTCACTCAAACTATCACAGAGCAGGTGCGGTTTTTTGTTAGTTTCTGCTCTGTTATGATTACACCTGGTGGAAAACTTAAAATATTACCTTGAAAACTGCAAGATTTCACACAACTTGGTAGTACTACATTTAAACCGTGCAAGTATCAGACTATTCACCTCATTTTGTGAGAAATAAAACAAAAAATATATAATTAATCATTCATTTTAAAAGAATAAATAACTAACCCCTAAATAGTAAATGCTCAGATCTCATATTGCTCACATCTTTTCAATAAAATGTCAAACACACTCTGCTTTAAATGCATGCAATTGCTCTACATTATTGTGTTTTTAAAATCAACACAACACTAAAGACTTCAATTAAGATCAGTTCATACATCAATGCTGACTATCCATCTGTAAAGCCATCCAGCTTTAAAACTACTTATCTTTAAGGACTTACAGGCCTCAGCCTGCGCTTGACAAGCCTCATGTAGTGACAGACAAAAAAATAATATACAAGCAAATAAATCCTTAAATTCTTGCACGTTTTCCAATCATGAAAGAAACATGAAAACAGAAGAAACCCATAGAGACATGGGGAGAGACATTTTATTACAAATATATATGCGTGTGTGTGTAGCTCAAATTCATTATATCTAAATTGCAAATTAGGCCTTTAAAAGCCAAGTGCATGTAAAGAATTACAAAGATACGCATGTATTTCTTTACTCTTCTTGTCACTGAGACACCCAGAGATAAAAATCCACCCTCAGACTGACTCGAGTGCACCAATTACTAATCCAACATTCAAGCATTTCGCGAAAAAAGAATTATTTTGCAAACCTTTTGAAATCACATGTGACCACAGGGATTACATAGTCAGAAACTCTCACCACTGTGACAGCTCCAACACTAATGTCAGTACTTTTCTTGTTTAGTTCATAATGATAAAAAATAATATAGAAAATATTCGAACCACACTGTTATCCTTACTACTCACTTTCTAAGGTGTGAGAAAGAACATCAAAATCAGAGTTTTTCTGCAGTACTGTGTTCTTCTCTGGCAACACTGTCGGTTGCACTGGCATCGACGCTGTTCTTTGTTTCACAGTGTCACTTGTAGATTTGCTGGTGCGTGTAAATGCCAAAGTACTTTGTCTTCGCCTTTTGGCAGTTAGAGTTTCATCGACACGATCCAGTGCAGGCAGAGATTCTTTGACATCCTGTTGTTGATGACTCTGAGACTCACTGCTTGCATCAGACTGCTGATTGAGATGTTTGCAACTCTGACCGTCTTCCAGTTTCCTCTTCTTTTTACCATCAGATCCAAAGCTTTCACTTCTCCTTTGTTTTCTCTTCTTTGGGACAGGGCCCAAGTCAAAGGGTATCTGAATGTCGCTGTCCACAGGTAGATCAGGCAAAAGAGGTTTTTTTGGTCTCTGGTTGCGATTAGCTGGAGAGAAAAAGTCCTCAAACACATTATCATCTCCATCAGTGGAACGTGAAGCAACATTTCTAGATTCTAAAGATAGGGAGAAAGATTGTGCCATGGCAGAAAGTGACTCTCTGCCTCGTTTAGGAGTTTTCTGTCCCATTTTCTGTAACGGAGGAGCAGTTTCAGCTGCAGCATCATCTAACATAGCTGATGAACTTGAAGAATTCACAGTGTCGGGATAAATATGGGACCCAGTGTCTGTGAAGGATTTAGTTGCTGTAATTTTTTGCTTTCCCTTTACCACTTTATTAGGTGATGGGCTTGATAGTTTAACCTGTGAACGCCTGCTTTCCCTTTGAAGACTCTTGCTGTTGTCAGATCTTCTGTCCTGGCAGGGACTTTCCAAAAAGTCTACAGATTTGGGTTTCACTGATGCCTTTTTTCTGATGGAGGTCTTTCTGGGTTTTTTTCGTCTATTCCCTTCTGCATCCTCTTTGTCCTCGAAGTCAAGACAGTCTTTGACACCTGAAGTCTGTCTTGGCACATCACGGCAGGGTGAGAGCCAGGGCTTCATAGAGTCTTTCCTGTGGGACTGTTCAAGATGGTCGTGGTTTTTAACATCAAGGTGCGTTCTCCCCTCTTCCTTATCAGGGGAGTAACCAGGCTCAGCCACAGAAGCACTGGAGTCCTCATCTGACTGCTCATCTATGTTGGGGAGAGAATAATAATGTAAATATTTTAGACTTTAAGTGAAGCAGTATTTCTAAATCAATAGTGTTCTGTGCATCTTTTAGCCATCGTCTGTTGATTGTTTTACTTCTCTGTGTGTTTGGCTGGATGTGCAATGATTCATACTGACCCCACCACTATATAAAACCACGGGCAGCTGCTCACCCTTCACAAGCTCACACATCCAGATTGCATGCTACATTCTCACTGTGAAATGGTGGCGGTGAAATAAATAAGAGACTGGTGAAGAGAGCTACTCTTAAAGTGAGATAAAAAAAAAAAAAACAACAAGGATATGCAGGATATATTTCTGAGGAGCTTTTAGAGAAAATTAAAGCTACCATAAAGCCACACTGGGTTGTTGTTATTACAGATCCATCTTGAGCTTTTGATATTGTTAGTCATGACATCTTGTGAAATTGTGAAACAGCTCTCTATGGGCTCTGGTGTTTCTGCTTACATCTATTTTTTTTTTTCAGCTCAGCCTTGAAATGCCCATTTCTATTTAGGCTGATGATACCTTCTTGCATGCCATCTGCTCCAACACACACCAGATTTTCCCCAGATTACATGTTGCTTCTGAAGCACTGCAGGCCTCTATGTTTAATTTCAAACTCTTTTTACATTAAAAAAAAGAAGACTAAATGTGTGCATTTCACAAGAACACACACCACTGATGTCCCTTGTCTGACCCATGCACTAAATGGACTAGCTGATACAGCCAGGCATTATAAATAGGAATCCAACTAGAAAACAGATTGTCCTACAAATCCCATGTTGAAACAGAAAAAGAATTTCTTTCTTCTTTAAAAATAGAAAAAAACAAACAAACATACTGTCTACATTGAATTATAGACCAAAAATTAAATAAAAATGGCAGGTGTCCACCAATAAATAACAAGAAGGCCACATTTAGCTTTCTTACACATTAATTTGAAGACAGTTGGTGTGCTCCCAAGAGACGGCTTCAGCCCCGTGGGTGAGCAGGATTCCATCATTTGTGAAGCTGAAAGGCAGTGACATTTTCATGAAATAACTGTTGTTTCAAAAATGCTGAAATGCTTAAAGTCTTTGTCCATTCAACAGCCTGTACAGCTGTGTTTGCACATACCTGTGGGTGAGAGGTTTTCCCGTTTGTCTTTCATGTCTTTCAAACGCTGTGCCATATAATCCGACCTTTTCCATGCAGGGCTGTAGACTATTCCATTCTCCTCGTCAATGATGATGGGCGACACATCCGTAACTGTGAATAAGTACAATCGTTAGATGGCAAAGTACATCATATAGTTTCAAATAGGCGATTCCAATGCTGTGACAACCTCTTACCCAGAGGTTGTTTTGGAGCAAGGTCTTTCATAAGCTTGTCTAATTTTTTCCTCATGCGCCTGTCATTTTCAGGTGTCCTCTCTGGAGAATCTTTTGGCTGCATACAACGATGCTGCAGGAATCAAACACACAAATGTTGAATGGAGAGCATTTTTGAATACGTATTTGCTCAGAAAAATTGAACATTGGACAAACAGTTTCCCCCCTCAGCTTATGCAGCATATCACTAGGAAATAATGAACAAAAATCAGAGCACAGGCTTTGAATTTATATCAGCAGGTTATTTTTTTCAGACAAATCAAAAGGAAAGTTTCAATCAAACGGTGAAACAGATGTGGACAAATTTTAGGATTTCTTGTACAACAAAAGAGGCCCTAGAGAAGCTCTAACTAGTTAAAAAAAACAAAAAAAACAAAACTACATATTCATACAAAGTTTGCATGCATACATAATTCTTCCATCTATAAAACATATATGTAATATACGAGCTTAACCGGGAAAAATATCAAAGAAGGAGGCAGTGAGATAAAATCAAGCATTACTTTCTTCACAAATTAGAATAGGATTCATCGTAATGTTTCTCTATAATTTCTTTGTTCAGTATGAATATGAGAGGTGAAATAAAAGCTGGAATAGAAGAGGTAAACATTAAGCCTTTAACCAAAGCGTTTTGTTTTTCTTCACCAGAAGTGCTCATGTTTCAACCTAAAACTAAAAATAAATTGAAACCTAAAGCAACTTAGTGAGCTTGAAGTCTCATTTTGTGTATTTGCAACATGTCAGCAGTTATAATAAGGCCACTCCACAGTTCTGCTGTGTGAATTCTACAAAGGAGTAAGTGTCAATCAGAGTTATCTGTTGCAATAAAGTGTTTGTATGAGTACTGGGCTCATGCCTTCCAAAGACAAGCAGCTAGGGTAAAAAGTCGTACTCAAAGTACTATATTTTATAGGAAGTTTATCTCTCATATCCCTCTCAGCAGACAAAAAAAAAGGTAAGGGTCAAATTCTCAGGGCTTTGTCTGTTACACTAGTGAGGCACTTCAAAGCCTCTACAGAATCATTTATGCAGGCTTTAAGGAGACAAGATGAGGCCTCCTGTGCAAGCGTCATCAAGAGTGGATGAGAGACAACCCTTGGCATAAGAGCGCATAGCATCTGATTGTACTCACTTTCTTGTTCTTCAGTATAGGATTGCTTTCATCATTTAAGGCTGGATATAACTCCTCATCCACATGCGCACCATCATCATGACACCTGAGCATTATTTCACCAAAACAAAGTAAATATTAACAACAGCAGCTTGTGAAACTGCACAACAATCATATAAAAATGATCATAGTGCTGCACAAGTTAAAAAGCTTTCCCCAACTTTCAAGCGTTTTTCTTACCTGCCAACCCAAAGAACTGAGACAAGACGCACATTACTTTTCTTGGCTTTCCTCCACGTAGCTGGATGACCATTGTTGAAGACTACATGTGTGACTTGTTTATTGAATGTTTTTGATACCTATGAAGGAGAAGTAATTTGGGTGTTACAAAAATTCCAAATACCTATACAGCAAAGACAACAGAGTGAAAATGCTGACCTACCTGAGCTCCCATTTCCTGCAGCTGCTGAACAAATGGTTTTGAATAGTTTGCTGTTTTGTCAGATGACCACACATCAACATAGGCAACCACATCTGCAGACACATTGAACAGAGTAAAAAACTTTAACCACAGGTCATAAAGCTTAGCATGAATTCACTGCGATAAACACAAGATGATGTACAATACCTTTAAGAACTGAAGAGCTGTTGCTTGTGGTCATTACTGGCTTCTTTAGCTTCAAGATTCTGCTTCTAAGAAATTAAAAATGACATTGTATGAGATAGACAATCACCAGAATTTAACTCTGTGACTTCTTTAAAAACATTAACAGCCTCTATAGCTCCAAGATTCACCTACACAAAACTAGTAATGTTTCTGAGATAGAAAATTAGTTCTCCCAATCCACAGGAATATTAATTGCTGTGACTCCTTTAAGAAATTTTACACAACGGGCCTTCAACATTGATAATTTTGCTTTGATTTTGTCATAGCAATTAAATAATTACATCATCTTCTGAAAGTGACCTTCTCCATGAAAGTCATGAAAATTCAGTTTATATATATTCTGTAAATAAAATTCAATGTCCAAATTTCTGCTGTACATGTAAAGTCAACAGATAATGTAAACTAAATTATCACTCAACAATGCCTAAAAGAAGAGAAATGCGAGATGACGAGAAGACAGCAATACTGGTCTTGCCAACAGGCTTGGAATCCACGACACAGCTGGTCATTATAACCTTAAGAAGAAAATAAAGCAGAATTCCACCAAGAACTGTAAAGCAAGGCTGAAAACAGTGGTCACACGGGTTAAATAGTTATTTCAAAAGCTGTATGAAAAAGTCTGTATGAGTCAAACTCAAGAGTGCAACTCTGAGATATTTTCAGTTCAGTCAATCCACCATTTATTTTGCCTGGATAATTAGTTATTCGTCACAGTGGCCAAAAACGGATTTCTTAACACCAGACACTCTCTGAGGATGAAGTAAATGATATGGGCATTATGCTGTTCATATGCATAAACGTTATTCAGACAAAATGGACAACAACATGCAATCCATTATCTTTGTGTAGCAGTTACTTCTGAATTCAAAATGATTAATTTAACTGCTGTCAACCACCCAGTAACATTCTGACTAATCACTTCTGAACCAGTTAAGGCGTCTGCTCTAACACTATGCGCCTACATGTTTAAACTTGTGATGCAACATTACTGAAAACTGGCAGTCCCTATAAACTTGTTTTTCTTCTGGGAGGAACCATGCCTATTGACTTCTACCTGTATTACTTCTGTCTTGCGTTCTATACGATATCCAACAACGTCAACGCTAAAAGTAGTGTTAGCTAAACAATCAGTCTAGCTACGTGAACCACTGATCGAGGGAAGAACATATTAGTATTCGGACATGATGTTAGTTACTGTGTAACGCAGAATATCTACTTTACATCTGTTAAACAAACACAACACACATTAACTGTTATTCATAAATATATATATAGATATATAGATATATATTACCTCGCACACTAGTAATGCTAATAGTGATGCTAAGTTAACCGTTAAACTGCTTTACGTTACGATGCTAAACTAGCGAGCTAACCAACTTAAGTTAGCACTAGGCTGGTGTGGCCAAACAGTTACTTCCGTAATATTCCGAAATATATATTACACGTGTTCCTGACTATTAGCAGTACAAAGACACGAAAGGAGATAGCAGATGGTATTTTTTTAGTGACAGACATGTACTTACTTGAAGTGGCTGCGTGTTTAAATTGCGCAATTTCACCAATAATTCACTTCAGTGTACATTGTTCGCGCGTGCAGTTTGTGGTGCATTGCATTCTGGGAAAAAGGATAATCATTGGCTGATAGGACTTTACGTCACTTCCTAAATAAAAAAGGGACCAAGGCTACATGATAGGCTCCCTATGAAGGGTCCTAAGAAGAGTGTTTCAGTCTCTGTCGTTTATCCTCCGATCCCTGCCCCGTCAGCTCCGCAGACGAAGAAAGTATTCACATTCCGCCTACCAGAAGAAGAAAGTGTACGTCTTTAAAAGTGGGCTGCATTACTTTTGGGAGATAAACTTTGAATAGATTAATTCATGTTCGTGTGTCCATTTTGTTTTTAGTATAAACATGTCTAATCAAGTCAACTCAACTTATTTATCACTTTTTACAGTCGTTATGCCATGTTGCTTTCCAGTAGAAGAATCAATGGTTTTCCGAATTAACCTAGCGAGCTTTAATATTGAAGTTAAGGGCCTACATTGTTGTTTATAAAGAATATGTACTTATAAAGGATTGAAACCCAACAAAAATACATGAAACATAACACCATATCTGTCTAGAACTACATGGTAAGGCTGAAATCCTGGAGTATTATTATTTTTGAAAATTAACCTTGACCAAATTTAAATTTAGATTTTCTTTTATTTTTAATGTCTATTATTTTGTGTTCTATTTTATGTTTTATTTCTTTGTACATATATAGTATCGTGTCAAATTAGTTTACACATAAAAGTAAATAAAGGAAGGCATTTGAAGCGGTAGTAGTTTACTAATAAAACAGAAAACCTGTAGTAGCACCACAGGAACACTGATCTGCATCTCATACATACAGTCATAACCGAGCATCTGGATTAAGTAGCCAGACAGCTGTATGTCATCTACATGTATTACAGGTCTTCACATGCTGTAGTGGAAAGCACTTGAGAACTTGGTGCATCTCTCTAATTATCATTTTTTCTAAGTTTTATTATAAATTTTTCATCTCATTTAAAAGTCACATCTAAGCACACTTGATGTTATTTTGATATTTATTGAACCAGTCCAATGCAGATCTATAATTTAACAATGTTAAAAAAACAGTTACTTTTTACTTTTTATTAGTCACAACAATCACAAAACAGTTATTCCTCACTGTCAAAGCTCACACACAGATTATACGGTACACATTACAAAAGAGATTAATTACAGATAGAGAGACAAAGATTAATTACAAAATAAGTAATGAAGTGTAATAAATGCAACAGCGGTAGTCCAAAAATGAAAATATTTTTAACATGTGTCTCCACTTTTTCACAAATCGCAACTGTGTTACTTTTCGGTTCAATACGCTGTACACTTCCTTGACAAAATAAATGAAAACCCAACACACAATAAATGTCCTTGTAAGGCGTTCATTCACCACAAGCCTAGAGAATAACTGCTGCTCTTCTGTACAAGACTCTGAAACTCTACTGGATGGATGAAGAGCGTTCTCATTAAAAGCATTCCCTTATCAATCTGAGCAAGCATTTCTAGAGCAATATTCTTCTTCAGTGGAAAGTCCAAACATGGAAATGGTAGCCAAATGCAAATGTAGTGACCTATATGAATGCATTTGCATGTGTTATTTCCTGCTTTCATTGGCTAGGATTTTTCTCTGAAGTCCTCTATATGTCAGCCACATCACATTGCAGCTGTAGTATGATTTGAGATATTTGGAAAAACAGATGCTTGGTGTTTGCAGTGTTTAATTAGCAGCAACTGTCTAAAGTCACACTTTAACTTTACACCCATTTGTGCACATGCAATATAACTTTCTGTTAGAATAAGCAGCAAAGAAGCAGAATACTGTGACAAATATTACATAGCATGAAGCATGAAATTGACAGCAACGGATGTGTTCAAAGCGTGGCTTGAAGATTATTTTTCATCAGCGCACTTCTGTTATAATTAGCATCTACTGCAGGAAAAGATAAACCAACATTGTACAACGCACTTCACTTCAAACCACAAAAAAATATTACTTTTTAAACCAATGTCAAAACGTGTGTACTGTCATTAAAGGTAAACCAAACACCAAAAATGTGTCCTACTACATCCTACAATCATCCTACGGTAAAGTCAGACAGAGTTGTTCTTGCAGTGGGGAGGCACAGAGGTGCGGGACACTTCCAAGTGCACGGTGGACATAGGGAAACGTTCACACTCTTCTTCAAGGGGGTAACAGCGGCAGTGCAGGAGCACCTCCCTCACTTCCTGCCGAAAGTTGGAGTTGAGGAACCCGTAGATGATGGGGTTGATGCAGGTGGAGGACATGGCCAGCAGGTGGCAGAGGGAGAACAGCAGGTTGTGGTGGCAGATAGGCAGGGCCTCTTGGTTCCAGTCCGATACCACGTTGAAGATGGTGAGCGGAAGCCAGCAAAGAGCAAAGGCAGTTATGAGAGCAACCAGCATGATGTTGATTCGGCGGCTGTGGGTCATTCGCTGGTTCTCTGTGGTCCTGGCACGGTCCAGCATGTCTTTGCGGTGGCGAAGGCGCACAAAAACTCTAACGTAACAGAGCAGGACCAACAGGAGTGGGCCGCAGTACTGGAACAGCAGGAGCCATGTGGTGTAAGCAACCCTGTGTTGGTGGGATGGCCAGTGCTCCACACAGGCTTCCATATGTGTGGTGGGGATGTAAGAAAAAAGGGAGCGGTGTGAATTTGGGAGCACGGATGAGTTTTTGTATGTGTAGGTGACAGGTTGAGGTGGAGATGTACTGACGTAAGCCTGAGGAGAAGCTTGGTGATGGAGCGGGGACTGGGGCAGGATTACGTTGGCATAGGGCTCATTTGTAAGCAGCTGAAAGGCCAAGAAAGGCGAAGAGGTGAAACAGGCCAGAATCCAAATGACAACAACTACCACGTAGGCCTGAGGAACACTTGGTTTCCACCCAGAAGGGTTAATAATGAGCTGATGTCTTTCTAGAGCGATAAACACTAGAGAAAGCACGGATACAGTCACAGACACACACTGGATGAACGGCACCAGCCGACACAACAGCGATCCAAACACCCAGTGATCCATGAGCGTATAGATGACAGTGAAGGGAAGGCAGAAGACACACACTACGATGTCAGAGAATGACAGGTTGCAGATGAAAATGCTGGTGACATTGGCCTTTTCTCTGCGACGGGCAATGATGCAAATGAGGCCGATATTCCCCACCAGCCCCAGCACCATTGTAATGCTGTACCACACTACTAGACATGCTGTGAGGACAGGAGACATATGGCACAGCTCGTCATGCCCGAGAACAGAGAGGTCCGACAGGAGCTCGGTGTCGTTCCCAGGCCACTCCTGCAAAGACTCTTGACCGGCTCGTTCCTTCTCCCATGGTAGGGAATGTGGAGAGGTGGAGCTGTTGAAGAGCAAAGGCGGAGGTGGCGCTGACAAAGACGATTGGCTTGCGTTGCCACTCAAGGACATCTCACCAGGACTTCAGTGTCACCAACCCTCTGGAGTAAAGTGTCCATCCCAGCCCTTTGGAAACCTGTATCTGGCACAAACAGAGAGAGAGAGAGCGCACAGGGAGACTTGAAAAGCAGTTTTTCACTAAGAGCAATGGCTCTTATAGGTCAATGGAGCTGTTCATGTAGAAATGATACTGTTGTTCTGAGAGCCGAACCGAGTGAAGGAAAGCCAGCAAATTGGTTCTATGTCTGTGAGGAGGAATAAAGAAAATAGACTACACGTGAGGGCTTTTTTACTGTAAGTCACTGTGACTCTACTTTAATCATATCTGAAACTGTAAGAATAATTTAAAACCCTCGGTGCACTGGCATTCATGGTCCCACGAGGATGAAACTTAAACACAAGGGGGACTTTTGGTGCCATAAGGAGGTTGATGTGAATTTTGTTGTGAAATGTCTACTGGATGATTAGCCGTTAATTTTGGTTGAGATGTTCATATTTCCCACAGGCTGCACAGAAGGTATAGCAACACTTGCAGAGCAGCAGCGTCGGCTCTGGTTCTCCATGTGTGTCTATACAAGATGCGATCAGGCACCTGCGTATAACAAGTGAAAAGCCGCACAAGCAGTAGCATACAAAACAGCAAATGCATTTGATAGCAAAACACAATCCATCACGCCGCCTGTGAAAACAGCTGGACTGATTGAAGAGTAGAGAGTAGATGTGCAAGACAGATGACTGAAAGACATAAATGAAATGTGCTCTGTGCCTAAATGCTGTCAGAATGAATCGTAATAACTTTGGCACTGCTCTGCCTTCTCATCTAGTGCCATCATCTGGTCAGATTGTCCCTTTGTCTAAAAGTTGATTAAATAATTGAACCAGTTAGGTGGCAATCTGGCGTTTTAAACTGAAACAGTGAACACGTTAATCAGCCCTAAAGATCAGAGCTGTGATTGCATGTTAGGTGAATTTGCCTCAAGATGGGTTCATTGAATAAGCCTTAAACCATAAAAAAAGAAAAAAGTGAGATGACTTTGTCTTAGAGTAACAATTTCTCTCTCTTTTTCTTTACCCATCTTAAGATGTGGGCTTTGTCAGTTTCCTGCCCACAAAGCCTGCAGTCAGGTTTTAAGACTGAACATAATAGCTTAATGACAGTGAAATTACTATGCATACATGGGAGCAGAGACTTTCATTTTTCGTGTACACAATAATGTTGTACGTCAAAGTGAAAGGGCATGACATTGTCGGAATCCTAAAAATGGATTGTAGCTCTCTCTCTCTCTCTCCCCTGAAACCTCTGCCATGTGCTGTGAAAACTAGCATCGCGGAGAAAATGAGACTGTCAGTTTCCATTAACGACACACACACTTAGCTATCAGTCACTTCATGCTGCATCATTACTAACCCACTCTGTCAGTGTGTTGAGTGAGCTGCAGGCAGGGTGGTAAAGCATTGATCATTCTTTGTTCAGGAGGGAAAGGCAAGTGTAATGTCACCTATAACCAGATGCAACAAGCAGCTACAACACAGATGAGGTAACATGAGCACCGACAGAAAGAAGTGCATTAATAAGCACATTTCAACCTACGACGTGAAAATGACGTGACACTGTGGGATGGTCCAGCAAGTAGTTGTGTCTTTGTGATAGCCCTGCATCAGATTATAATCTCTGCAGGGCACACTGACCTGGCTCCACTTGGACCCTCAGATTTCTATTTTCTGCCTCAGCAAAATATTGTTGGAAAAAATAGCTGCCAAAATGAAGGACTGGCTAAATGTAAGTTTCCTTGGACCAGCTTCACCTTGAATTTCTCTTGTATTTTGTGAAAGAAGTTGTATTGGACAGCAGTATCTAGTATGATAATGTTCAACCTAAGCAGCAGACATTATGTCACGATGCATGAAAATTTCACAACCTAAGAATCTCTGACATGATATGTCATACCAAGATGTTTTTTTTTTATAGCTGCACCACAAACATGTTGCCTTCTAATTCATTACAATTTCTATTTTTTTGCTTAAAAACGTCATGATTTCAACCAGTACTTAAAGGTCTGTAGACATGTGCAGTCTGTGAGGGCTGAAGAAGTAGATGTTTTTTTTGTTTTTTTTCCTGCACTGCAAAAAAAAAAAAGTCTAATAATGAAAATGATGGATTTCAAGAAGGTGCTTGACTGAGAAACAAAGAGAAAGCTTAATATCTTAGTCCCCCTCTGTAAAATTATTGTCTGTTATCTAATCATATGAGATGTGCAATCTTAAATCACTTTTTATTTGTGTTACTTCTTTTGCCTTTTATTAAACACTTTCTGTTGCATTATCCACAAATCCATCATTGTGTTTTTATGTACACGCTCAGTCAGTGGGACCATTCAGAAACAATTTTCCTTCATTTTTCCTCCTGCTGCTGAAGGATCAAGGTAACGGCAGCGGACGCTGTGCAGCGCTCTCAACCTCATATAATGACCCAAGCCTCATTGTTCTCTGCTGGGGGCGCCAGCAATTGTGGGTGACACCTCTCAAGACATTATCACTACAAATACTGTTTGTAGATTTCCACACAGCATATGAAAAAATCAGTGCAAAACAGACATATTTTCACCCTGGTTTGCTGGTTTTTTTTCTTTTTCTCTTGGATACACATTCTTAGAAATGCCTACAATCGAGAGTTATTGTTTGAATGCATCCTTCAAGAATATTTTTAAAACATGATACACATGCAACATATCTGCATATCTGGATACTAAAACTGATAGTGGAGATAAAATACCACATACATTTTCTCATTGATCAAATAATAAAAGATACTGACTTCGATTGATGAAGCAAATCGTTGCAGTTTTCAACAGATCATTATTTTTGGATTAAAACATAAAGCACTCACGTGGGCGGTTGCCTGAATAAAGAGTTTCTGTGATGCCAAGATGACAGAGAGTGATGCCGTGAACAGGTGTGAATCCTCAGAGATGAGAGCTGGAGAATGAGCCTCACATCATAACAACCAGGACGTTTCTGTCAGAGGCGGCAGTGAGTGGAGCACAGCTATAATTGGGCTGTTAGAGCCCTTTGGGTGCCACAGACCCTCTGAGCACTGAGCTCTGCTGTCACACAGTGGTGGCTTCATTCAATTACATCTTAAAAAGACACCAAATGCAAGACACTGAGCAGGCAAGACGAAGCAGAGTTGCAGGTTGATGCAGGTTTTAACTTTATTAACAGTGAAAGAAAAGCAAAGTTGATAAGGTGTTTGTTTATTGGGGATTTAATGTGTGCACACACAATGAAAAAATTGAGAAAATGTGAATAATAATAATAACAAAAAAAGACCTGTTTCCAGTTTGGGTTTTAATTGTCCCTAATGTGCCGAGTCTATTTTGTGGTGTTTTTAAAGAGGGTTACACTCTTTAGTTTTGTCAGATTTCAGCACTACCTTGGCAGTGCAGGTTGCCTTGTTTATAACCAGCTCACACTCCTCAGGAACATCTACGGTGTCTGCATCAGGGAAGCTGTGACACACAAAGAAATAAGGAAAAAATTAAACCGCCTTCTAAAAAATGGTTTTGCACAAATTAAGGACGATACAAAAATGATCACGGATGGGATGGAGAAGGTCAGAAAAGACAAGTGTATTCTAATTTATTTCCTTGGATTAGAAGAGGGTAGTAGAATGTTATTGTTCTTTTTTGCTTCAAATTTATGTTTATTTTAGATTCTCCTTGATTCTCCCACAGAGTAGTAGATTTGTTGTTTCACAGCGTTATTTTCCTCATTAAAATCAAATTGCAGGACCAAAATGACAGTTTGGTGAAACAGACGATGCATATAAATCTTTCTTTTTGTTAGGATCGCACACTGTTTCCGATTTCCCACAGAATTTACTGGTACATGGAGTGAGAGGATGCACCCCACACACAGCTGCCATGCTGTCCATCATTGGTAAGCGTTTAGCTCTTTCCTCTCAGTAATTACCTTTAACTGCACGAGAACTGGCTAATCCATCTGGAAGAATCGTCCACTTTAATTCTCTAGCTGCTGCTTCAAAACACGCCTACGTGTCAGGTGTTGGTTTAATTATGATGGACAGACTTCTGATCTCAGACATTTACAGTTTTAGGCACAGGGCCTAAAGAAAAAAATGCCTTTTTATAAAAGCAAAAAGCCTTTCCCTTTTAGTCCTTATAATACTTGAAATAAAATATAACATAAAAGGTTAGTTCTAAAAAATAAATGAATAAAAAAAGATAGTAAAGCATGGAAATCTTACTTGCGGCAGCAGCTCAAGCCGTCACTTGCACAAGAACAAGCCATGCAGTCTCTCTCCCACTTCGAGCCAAAGTCATGCAGCTTTCCATCCATATCCAAACACCCTGCATGTACACAAGTTAAAACCACAGTTCAGAGGAGCTGCCGACTTGCCTATCACGCCTCGATAAACTTTCGGCAGCTACTTGTCAGTGCCCATTGACGCGTGCATAGGTGTGGTTTGATAAGATTGGAGTCAGTTGGCAGGTATTGAGCAAACACAAAACAGTCAGACAGACGAAGGATTAAATGCTCATTTGTCCAACTTCTGTCCAACAAAGCAGAGAAGACTTTCCACTTCACCACATCTCCGGTTGCACAGCTATTATACTGTCTTATGTGATTCACCTTTTGGAGGGTTTGCTGGATCTTTGACCTCCAACTCCTTAAAGAAGCAGGAGTTGTCAGAGTGACTCAGGACAACCAGTCCCAGCAGACAGACAAACACATGCAGAGAGGCCTGAAAGAGGAGGGAAAAAAAGACATAATTTATAGACTCTGCTACATTTATGCATGTCTCCTAAACTCATTCACTCCAATACAGCCTTTAAAAGACACCCTTTAAGTTCCTCTCCTGGCGTTGATAAAATCTCTAAAAACTAATTACTGCTCATCAGAATTATTTCGAAGTTCTGTCAATGAAAATTACCATTTCATGCTTGAAAATGGCTTAGTTGTAGCTCTGCATCTTTGCTGTCTTTACTATGCGCAGACCCATGAATATGCAAATTGGTCCCCACGGTCCCTGGCTGTCTGAATCTGCGGTTTTGACACTGTAATTGGTGCGCTGCAGTTCCAAGCCAGAAATTCTCCACCAAGGTGTTTACTGTTTATCTGGCTCATGATGTGCCCTCTAGAATGAAAAAAACCCACAATATAGACAGTGAAAGGGGTTTTTAACATGAACAAAAATGTACCTTTTCAGGTCATGAAGGTCACACAAACAATTTTATGATGTAAAAGAGACTAAAAGCCCAGAAAGTAAGAGCAAAAAAAACAAAATGTTTTACTGTCAATGTCAAGAGGTTTTAGCATTGTGGTTACTGCATGCATTTTTACCTGATTTGTTGCCATTTTCGGTATAAGAGTCTATGTATAAACTGAATTTAAATGTGATGCAAACACTGCGCTAACAAAAACACTCACCATCAAAGCATGGCAGTGTAATATGATAAACTTAGGTCACATTTACTCAAAGATCAGGGGAAAAAAAATCTTAATGCCAACAGCTGCTTAAAAAGCAGAAAAACAAACATAACCACCCATGGTGCTGAAAGCAGGTAGCAGCAGCGACATGAGTTATTCAGAACGCATAGTTTACACATAGATCATAATGTGAACGAACGTTTTTGGTTTTACAAGTTCATGTATCTTTTTCAGTCATTATTCTAAAGGCTTGAGCGCTACTTGAGCTACTACCCTCACCATCACTGCAAATAATAACAGAATAAATGTGTAATGGACATAAAATTGAGTCTTTAAATGTATACATTACTACATAAACTCTGACAGTACTGACATCATTAAAGTCTTAGGAATTGATCCAAATCTAAATCTATATTGCAGTTTTTGAGTTCAACTGTGATCAAAGACTATAAAAAGGAAGGTAATTTCATTATTCACAAACACATAACACCAATAGCTTTTCTAAATGTAATGTGGAAAATACGTACCATCTTCAGGATGCGATGTGACCGAGCAGTCAGCAGAAAAACAGTTTGGTGCAAACTCTGTAACAATGGCTTATATTAGGGTGTGCGTCCCTATATATCTTACTGTTAATATTTGAATAATGATGTGACTTCTACCAAATATTTGTTTTAAGGTGGGGAAGAACTGCAGGTGTGTGGGTTGTGTTGATATTGCTTATTGGAGTCGCACCTTTCTCAATCACGACCTAGTTTACCTGTGGTAGCCATGGTATTTCCTTTTTACGAACTCACAGCGTATGCAAATATTAAGACTTATACCCAAATATATTCAGTAAACACACACACACGCACACGGATACAGTGAAAAACAAAATCAGTCTGAAAAATAAAAATGGTTTTCCTCATCTGTAAACTTTTATTGTTGGGCTGGCGAGCAAAGATAGATGAGTTGCACTGAAATAAGGCCACGCATTGTAAACTGTTCAAAAATATGCAGTTTGCATCAGCCATGCCATAGTAAACGATACACTTTTGAAACCTTGTTAACCAACTGCTTTTCAGTAGCTGCATGAAGAGAAAGTCAGTCTTTGTGCCATGCAAAAGAGGAAACTCCACATATCTCCATCCCCGTTAATACAATTACGTCCTTTAAAAAACCCAAAACAATTTGGGATAAAGAAGTTATTCTGTTGGCTTCCAGAAGACAAATGAGGACTGGACAAACAGACTATTTCACAGCCTTTAACGGTGCAAACAGACAAAGGTTTCAACGTAAGTGTGTCTTCATCTGTCTCTGATTAGGACACAGTGGTGTCAAAACCTCAGCCTGCTTTTACAATTACAGGTTGTAAATTAACCAATGTGCTTTATTCCCTTTTTTTTTTCCTCTGAAGGTTTACTGTCCTCAAGCTGAGAAGCACATGATTTAGCTGCAATTTGCTGGAAGATGCACAGAGAGCCCTGTTTTTGTTCTTTTCCCCCCTTTTTTTTGTAAGACTGAGGGATATTCGGCAAAACATTTATTGTAATGTGCATATATTTGTTTGAGTTTAACTGTGAATATGTGAATCTGTACGATCCCTAAGGTAACATTACTATATAAAAAAAGCTGCAGAGTTCCCTTTAGCCTACTGAAGCCTGAGTCCTGTCAGCCGAGAGCAGCAAGTGTTTGTTTCGCTGCACATCAAAAGAAACAGTTCTTTCTTTGGTATGGGTCACCAAACAGGTGTCAGACCTTTTTATACCAAAACAACTGTGTGAACCGTCACCAGTTGACTCCCAAAAAGTGACAATATCAGCCTGGATTACAGCTGTGAGAAGCCTGAGTAGTTCAGTGTAACAACCCAAACCACCAATGAACCGTAAACATCTCTGCAAGTGGAAGCTAAGAATGATTAAAGTGATTATTTAAAGGCAAATAAATCTACAAGAAAACGTCTGTACCTGCAGCTCTTTGGCAATGTGCAATTATAATTAAAGGAATTATTCAATATTTTGGGAAGTATATACGTTCTGATATGTATGTGCTATAAGTATGTTAAATATGAAGTTACAATTAGCAGCTGGTTAACTTAGCTCAGCATGGTTAACTTAGCTTAGCATGGTTAACTTAGCTTAGCATAAAGACTGGAAACCGTCTGGAACAGGAGGCGTCCTGTAGTCTTGTTGACACATCAGTAAGTCAAATGTCTGTAATCACTTTAGAGCTGCTGGTACTGTAGGTAGATTTTGTAGCTTTCAACAGAGCTGTATCTCCCTATTTGCAGTCTTTATGCTAAGCTACGCTAACTAGCATTTATTCTTACCATATTGACATGACAGTGCTGCCAATTTTCCTATCAAACTCTCTGCATAAAAGAAAGTATGTTTACCAAACTGTCAAACTGTTCCTTGAAACACGACATTATACAAACAAAACTCCACATAATAAATTAAAAGTCTCTTACTGAGGCATTCTTATTACAGTCCATGCACATTGCAGCCGCTAAAGATTCTTTATCCAATCAGAGTTTTCATGAAGGCAGGCTTGTTGAAGGGCCAGTGGTACTGGTTGGGGACAGGTCCGTTCACGTTGCATTCGAAGAAGGAGAACATGGGGAACCAAATGCGCGCCCGGCGGCTGTGCTGGTAGGCACGGGTGTTGGCTAAGGTGTGGTAGTAGAGGAAGAGGCGGGTAGTGATGTAGAAGGCGATGAACACGTCGATGGAGTAGTGCTCGTGAGCCGCCAGGATGAAGAAAATCCCAAATAGGTTTAACACCCAGGAGATGGTGTGAATCAGATTCCAGGTACGTGGAGTGTCTGCAATATGGAGACATCAATAAAGGACAAAATCAGGTGATATTCTGGGTATTTTAGGTATTTTCTGTGTATCCAAAGCCTTTTTTCTTACACCTTATTCTCCTCTGCCGTGTACTCCCAAAAACAGGCCACACATTTACACTGGGTGTCATGCCCCTTCATCTCAGAATCACAATCAGAAATACTTTATTGATCCCCAAGGGGAAACTGATTTCTGTTACAGATGCTCCCAATCAAAAGTCTTAAAAGAAGTAGGAAAGTATAAAATATATAATAAAACTATACACATAAGCATCAATATAAAATAAATCTAAACACAAAATAGAAATGTACATTCTGCAGTTTTTGTGAATACTGACAATACAGTATGTAGTTTATTTTGAGTTGATGCTGCACATGCAGTCTTTCTGCTTTAAATACTGACTTAAATATAAATGTGTATTATTCCACAGCTGAAAACAGTCCCCAACAAATACCATGTTTATTCCTGCTTGACTAGCATATGCTGAATGGTACAAAGCCCACCTTTGTACAGAAATCACTTTTGCCTCTTTAAAAAGTGTAAGTATATATCAGTGACCCATACTGAGGGACTCGTGTCTTAAATAATAAGTAGTGTGTTCGGGGCCAAGAACAGCACAGCGAAGATGTTATAAAGGAGAGACTCACTGCTAAAAGAAAAGAAATCTTTAACTGCATTTCAAATTGTATGCTCATGTTTGTCTGGCATACTATACTATGCTGCTATGGATATTGGAAATTGCAATATTTGGAAAATGCATGTGTATAGTTAGAGTATAACCAGCGGAAAATGCTTTTTAGTTCTTATTTCAGACCAAACCCTGTCATAGCTTTTGATCAGATTTTACCAGTCACTTTAGAAATGCAGTTTTTATATCCCAGCTACCACCAGAATTGCAGTTATGGTTCTCTTTTCATTCATTTAGACACGAGTTTGGTCTTGTAAGCCCAAAATAACTGTCCGAGTGTGTTACCAAGGCGGCTGCTGAGAGGCGAGGTTTGCCTAGAAGTACTTTGGCTACAGTCAGTAGAGAGAAGCCAGAAAGTACTGAGAACTGGAACAAAAAATGATTGGTTTCGAAGTTCTCATGGGATTTTTTTGATGCAAAGAAAAACATAGATATAATTCCTGGAAATAAAAGAACTAACACTTACATTCAGTCACAAAGAAGTTGAGCAATGTGATGACAACCGTGTGTCCACTGAACATGTAGTCTCCACAGGTCTGCACGCCTGTCAGAGTCATCCCAAACCCACTCCAGATTGCTAGTGCCCTCTGTATCTTCCCCCAGCTATCACCATATGTCTGGGGGGACAAAAAAAGACAACTTGTGTAAACAGTCATGCTGTGAGTCACAGAGGCAACTGTTAATTAGAAATCACAGCGGTAATGCTGAGTTTAGAACCCAACTGTAACACTGCCAACAGCAAAGACAATTACCAACTACTGATGACACGTGGAAAAATGTTATCTAGTCTTTATGGAGCCTCATGTGTTTCTCACCTTGCTGGCACATTTCAGGTGCTGCCCAGGTACAGAGAGGGAGGTGACAAACATGGTGCAGCAGCGAAGCAAAAACACTGTTCCCATCAAAGAACACAGCCGTCTGAAGAGAATGGACCTGAAATAGAGACCAAACAGGGACTTCATTAAATCTACACACTATACGTAGGCAATGCAACAATTAGCAGAGTGTAATGTGATGGGAGCTGCTGAAACTGTGGACTACCTGTGTTTGTGAAGGAGCAGGATCAACAGAAACATGTAACACAAGATGAGGCCACATGCTTCAGCCATTGCAAAAGCCCAAGGGATTCTGGGTACACTGTCAGGGTACAAAAACATCTGCATCAGCATGTAGATTAGATATGAGCGCAGCAGAATGTGTACATGAACTATGGAGCTGAAGTTGCTCAACAAGCGCTGGAATCTTCATGTACAGTCATCCTCAAGTGTATTCATACCCTTCCATTACAGAAAAGGCAAAATTCACAATAGTCACTAAAATAACAAGAAACTGAAAAAAGTAATGATAAAAAGAAAATTGCTAAATTATAATTTAGGGAAATAAGACATTGCTTTTGAATTGTGGTTGAAAGGAATAATAATAAAAAAAAACTGTCCAGGACAAATTAGAGCACTTTACTGATGAGCAGTAGGTCAAAAATTAAATAGCTGTCAACAGGTGCAGAAGTCTGATTGAGAGTTACAGAAAACACTTGATTGCAGTGATTGGCTCAAAGGGTTGTTCAACAAAATATTAGTTTACAGATCCCATCATGCTTGTTTGCTTGTTTTGAACCACAATTCAAAAGCAATGTCATGATTTTCATTCAGTTTTTATTTATTATTACTTTTGTCAATTTCAGCTTATTTCAGTGACGGCTGTTTGTTCCTTCTTTAATGGGAGGCTATGAATAAATTTGAGGACAATTGTAGGTATAGTGATTAGTTTATACCTGTCTAGGAATATGTCGGGCAGCGGTGGGTATGTCCTCATGTCCGGCACACGCTCATGTACGATGACCATGACGAAAGATGTGAATCCAAACACAAAAAATACATATACGGAACTGAGGACTGTCTTCCACACCTCTGGGTCCAGTCTACCAGCCAAGTGCTGCCTACACCTCCCATTGGTGTGAGTATGACACACTGCAGCTCCTGATCCATATCCAGATCTGTCGTTGGTCCTCAGCCGCAGTTCAGTCCCGTTACACAAGCGATCACCTCCCCCATTAAACCTCCTGTCAGCTCCGTCATAGCTCCACTCGACACCTGCAGCGCCCAGCGAGAGCCCAGCAGGGAGACTGTCTGAAGGCCGGAGTCCAAGCTCCTCCAGCTGGGCCTGGTTTTGTCTCTGGAGCCGGCGGAGGGCTATGGTGAGCCTTTTGATGTCTCCTAACACAGTCAGGCCCAGCGGAGGACCCCGCAGGTCGGCCTCAGTCAGAGCCAGCAGGCTGGGGCCGTCCAGGCGGTGCTGTGTGCACAATAACTCCACATACTGCTCGAAACCTTCCTCCTGCAGCCACTGGGCCACCTGCTTACAGCTCCAGGCAGTAACACTGTCCTCAGACGGTGCCATGCTGCTGCTGACACAAGCACATGCAGCGTTAGATCATGGAGCATTTGACATAGATGAAAAAAAAAAAACAGATGTGGGGAACTATACAAGTGAAGATTATAGATGCCACCAGCAACAGAGATGTAATCAAAAAGATGATTTGCTTACACGCTGGAGTTCTGACTGATCAAAGGCTGCTGTAACAATTCTCTATGTTCAGTAATTAACTGTCACATTTTCCTTCACTGTGTTTTCACCACTTGATTTCATTACTGCCTTTGTCAGTCCTATTATTCAAATACAAAACTGCCTAAAAACTCACCCACTGACATTACTTTTAATTTGCATGCCATTGATCACAACCATTTCCACCATTGTGTGAATAAACAAGGGCGGCAGTTATGTAAACATCTGATTAATCTCCCAGTTGTTCACCAGTTCATTAGTGGTTTGTTATATAAAAGAAAAGAACGTTTCACTGTCACATCAAGTGGTATTTAATTAATCAACAGTCTAAAACTCAAAACAATAAACACATTTTAGGTATTTTGCTTGAAAACGAACTCAAATGTTTCATCGATTATTGCGTTAGCTGCTAATTAAGCAATCAGCTGACCATTCTAGCTTTAAAATGAGCTACACAATTATGTACTCTGTGTGTACTTCACCCTATAAGTTAAGCAAATATCAGCAAAGGTTTTGAGCAATTTCATCAACAGTTATAGATCATCGTTTAAAACCACTTGATTAAAATTCATTTAGCCTATAACATGACAAAAACTGTGAAAAATGTCCACAGTTTCCCAGAGTTAGTTTCCTCCAATAGTCCTAAAACTGCAACTATTGTCATAATTTCAGTTTCTTTAATTTTGTTAGTTTTACTAAATATTTATTCGAAAGATCACTTTGGACTCAGGGAAGTTTTGACAGGCATGTTTCACAACTAATTCATTTTACCAGTCAATGCTAATTAAATATTTAGTTGTAGTCTTACAGGATGTAATGATATAAGACATTCAGTTAGTATGGCTAATCAGGATGCAGTCAGTGTCGAGGTAATCTGCTGTGGGGCAGCTTGCTTGTGTGACCCAGCACTGCAAACTGCAGGCTACTTAGTGCTATTACATCATCTGTGTCCAGGTCAGTGACTGTACAGTAAAGCTGCAGCTCACAGTGTAAATATGCTTTACGTGGAACGCCCAGATCCGCATAAAGCAGGTCTATGTTTTATGTGTCAAGCAAAAACAAACAGAAATGTAACCACAATTTCAGTCTTCCAAAGTATTAAATCAAACTTTAGAAAAACAGTTGTTCACTAACCATACAGACAGAGTAAATCAGTTCCTCTCCTGCGCTGATGAATCACTCTTTGGCTGTGTTTGCCTTTTGACCTTGTGATCAGTTCACCACGCTGCTACTTGCTCTACACTCGCTACTGCTCCAAAGGTCTGCGGGACTCGACCAACATGGCTGTATTACTCTTTACTGCTTGCATGTGAGCGATAGCCTATATGCTGATTAGACACTACATGCAATCTTACAATTACCAAAGCAAGCAGCTTTCTGCTATCAGTAATGCATGACACATGGCTGTCGATTAGGAAGCTTTTAATCTGCTGAATTTGACAGTTAATCAATTAGTTTACATCATTGACATACATTTATTAAGCATTTCTAAGACTGTCTTTTCTCCTGTTGTTAACTTGAATGTATTTTATAGACTGTTTAGACTTTCTGCAATGTCTTTTATAGACTTTTTGCGAGGTCATGATAAACTCTTTGGGTTTCACACTTTTTATTCAGGGACTGCCTTTGTATTGCTGTCTTGCACGGCATTGTCATGTCAATAAAGCTTCTAATTTTAAAGGATTTGGTCTGTAAAATGTCAGAAAGCTTCCTAGAGCCCAGGGTGATTTGTTAAAATCAGATTTCATGTCCAACCAACAATCAAAATTGCCCAAATCATTTGTTTGCTATGACGTAAAACAAAAATGGCAGCTACTTACCACTAAAGCTGACTGACTGAATGACTACTTGATTGATTAGTTATCAGATGGACAGGAAATTACTTGGCAACAAATCTGATCATTTTATAATCCAATTCTTGATGAAAAATGTCTTGTTTTGTTGTTGTTATTCTCACATGATGCTGTTTTTTCTAACAGTGATCATCACCCTGGTATTAACAGCCACACCTTACGTGACATCACCTCATTGGAATGAACATACTGGTTCAAACACGGGAGGAAATCTCTTAGTTCCTATGATCGTCACACACACTGAAGCTGGCTGTATTCCATTAATAATGCAGATCATACGGTGAAGGATCCATACAGAACAATACCTATCAAACCTGGCTATTAGGCTGACCCATATTAAATATTTACACGTGTGAAGTAACTCACCAGGGTGGCTGATGCTCTGATCCCTCAAAAAGAAAAGTTATTTTTAACTAGTCTCTAGATTTCACTGGCAACATCCTGCAGCCTCTCTGGCTCGTGGCTTTACTTGGGACTCATAAGTGCAGTGTCAGCTTGTTTGGCTGGCCTACAGTGAGTCACAGCGAGCACTGACACACAGCTGTGAGAGAGAGAAAGCCCTTCAGTGTGTGAGACACAGTTTGACAAAGAGCTCATAGTCTGTTCAACCACCAGGCCACAGCGTAACGTCAGCTGCGGTTTTTCAGCATGAGTTGAACTGAGGACAGATCACAAATTTACGACGGTGTGGTAAAGTGTTTATGTTTTCCTCACATAAACAGAAAACAGAAGGGGACATGGTCCAAGTCAGAGCAAACATGAAGTGTTTCAAACTTATTTTAAAACAGTAATCAGCTGTCTTACCAACAATCCACTGTCACTGTGCTGTCAGAAGGTGTAGATGAGCTCTCTGTCTGCTTCTCCACCCAGAGTACTTCATGGCCAACATGCTTCTGACAACTAGGCAACACCAAACAGGAAGAGACTTCAATAAACAACACCAGTAAAGAAGAGCTGGTGGACTCATTGAGGGCTGCTGCTCCAAACACACTGACATCTGCTGGTCACACTGGAGAAACTAGGATCTGATTACAGGTAATGTTTCTCCAGGTCTGTAAATGGCACATTTTTATGGTTTGGCTTGACTTTCATGAAAAAAAGTGTAAAAAAAAAAAAGTATGTAGTAGTTTTCAAACTAGTCACGTAATTGAAAACACATTTCCATGCATGAGAGTGCAACTGAGAGCCTGTGCCAAAGTGCACCACCTGTTTTATGCAATCAAACGAATTGGACCTGCAGCTGAAACAGACTCAGAGCAAAGGCAACAGACAGAAGCTTGATTTGGTTTTTGGGAAAGAACAGGACAGTGTCATAAACGTAGCGATGACAGACACAACTTTATGTGCTTTAACAGGAGCGAAATGTGACACACAAGAGTCGGAGCACAGGAAAGTGAGTGAGTCAGAGGAGGAGGAAAAGCACACGACAGGGGATTCGGAGAGGATGTGGAAGATCCCGTCTCTCCAGGAGCTAGAGGAGATCTTACATTCAGCTCCACGCTCCTGTCGCCATGGAGATGAGGTGTGGCCAAACCTGTATCTGGGTGACATGTGAGTATCAGATGCTGCATTCAAAGGTTCAATATTTAGCAGATTTTTAGCAAATTAATGAAGGCCTCACATGTTGCCAGACTGTGTCTTTTGAAAATGAAAACCCACAAAGTTGGTTCATTTTACCATGACTGTATAAGCCCTGGTTTTAGCCCTGGTCTAAACAAACTGTTTCAGTGATTGACAGCAGGAGGAAATAAACCGAGACTTTCTTTTGGCAGCATCTTTCGATCTAAGCCATCTTTGGAAATATTACAAATTCACAGCACAGTTATTGTTTTTGACTTGTTTGTGTGGTGAGTTTTTCAGATACGGCTACAGCTGTAAAATGAGCTTTTCACAGGTGCAGAGTCACAGCTTGGAAATGGCTCTGAAGTGACCACTGGTTAACATTTCAGTATCTATTTCATACTTTTTCTGTTGTCTGACATCAGAACCTTGAAAAATATGTAAATGAGAACAGCTTTATGGGGAATGTGGCTATATTAAAATGCAGTTTATGTGAACACAGAGAGCAGGAGAGAAGTAAACAGATATAAACAAAGGAAACTGAAGCATGACATGAAAGTCATACGCGAGTCCTTGTTTAGTGGTTTCAAACTGGTTTCAAAGTTTCCGCCATCTCTAAATGTCTTTCAATTTTACAGTTTCCACAGAGCTCCGACCTGTGAGCATATGATCAAAGGCAATGGCAAAAATAGCATACATGAAGGATTTTCCTATTGTTGTGGTGTCATCCATTCTATCTCTGTTCCTCAGATGTTGGAAGTGCATAAAGACTCTTGTTTTCAGTCTTGCAGCCAACAGAAGAACATTTGGTGGCTTTTCTCATGGCTGAGACATTCTAGATTTAGCAAAATCAGCTCTAGAAAATTAAAGGACTGTGAGGCGGCTGCTCATTCTGAATGGCTCAACTCATAAGCAGAAGGCAGTAAGGGGACAGAATTATGCAAAGTTTGAGCTAGATGATCATTGGTTCATTAGCTGATATATAGCAGTAAAATTCTTGGCTTGTAAAGCTGGAGCCTAACTAGTTTGGTGGAGCTTGAGGAATGGGAAAAGTAAACATTTCCTAACAGCTTTTACTTTAAACCTCCAAGTTTCTACCAACTATAAATACAACTAAAAGGGATTTCCACAATATGGGACCTTTTAGTTCACACACACACACACACACACACACACACACACACACACACACACACACACATATATATATATATATATTATCATTAAAGCATTCTGTTTGTTATTTTGTGTCAGGTTTATGTCTCATGACAAGTTTGGCCTGTACCAGCTGGGCATCACTCATGTGCTGAACGCCTCACACGGTAAACTCTGCTGTAAGGGCAACGATGATTTCTACGGAACCACAGTTAAATATTACGGAGTCCCCGCCAACGACCTGCCTACATTTGACCTTTCACCTTTTTTCTCGCCTGCTGCGGAGTTCATTCACCAGGCTTTGACGTCAGGAGGTACTGCAAGCTGCCACGCATGTTTTCAAAGATGAAACTCTGATGATAAATAACCAGTATTTTTAGCGTCGTTATTTGCTTCTTTTCTGATTTCCAGGAAAAGTTTTTGTGCACTGTGCTGTGGGTGTGAGCCGGTCAGCTGCCTTGGTCCTGGCCTATCTGATGATTCATCATCGCCTCAGCCTTCTGTCCTCTGTACGCTGTGTGCAACAGAAGCGCTGGATTTTCCCCAACCGAGGCTTCCTGCGACAGCTTATAGGACTAGATCGAAAACTGCTTGATGAAGCACAAAATGAGTCAAAATAACACAAACCAAGGAAAAACTATGTGTAATGAATTCAAAACATTGTTCTCATGTAGTTGTCAAAAGTGAACCACCTCCATTTGTAGCCTTTGTATGTATAAACTAATGTGTCCACCCTGCTCCCCTGTCTTCCCTCTGATGTGACCTTCTGGCTTTTCCCTGCGGCTCTTTGCCATCAATGAACAGGGCAATCAATGGAACAACAACATTAAATAACTCCACATCCAGTCGGAGAGAACACACTGGACACAGGGAGCTAATTTTGGAGTCAAGCAGCCACCTGCTCATGCCTCTCACCGAGCTGTAGACTCTTGTGGCGAAGGGACGGAGGCGGCGGCACCAGCAGTGCAAGGAGGTCCGCTGAAGGAGCACCGTGTGTCCAGGGGAGAATGTCAGGGAGCAACCAGCTACAGGACCTGGTGCTCATTAAAGAACTGGAACTCATCTTGGATTCCTGCACGCTCGAGCTCACACCAGTGGATGAAGTCTGGCCCAACCTGTACATAGGAAATGTGTAAGTAGACAGAAACATCTTTCTGCAAGAGAGAAATTCATCAGTTTTAATTGCCTGTTACAGTGCAGAATTAACGTAACTGGGTGCACTTTACTTTAAGTTCTCCTATTTAAGCATTTAATAAATAGTTTGTTTTAATGTAGCTGTAATCAAATCTAAGAGCATATATTAATATACTGTATTTTATTGTCAACAACTGTAACATCTCTTATGAGGACATATTTAATATTAATATGATTGTGTTTCACTATAATGTCATTCATTGTCTGTTTCCAAATCAGCCTCTCACTCTGTACAATTACATACACAGATTTATAAAATCTTATCTGCTTATAACATCATAGTCGACCTGTCCAACTTCTAAAGGCTCAGTAGTGGGACTAATCATTGCATTCTTCTTTATTTCACGTGTGTTTGTCTTTCTGTGTGTGTTCTCCAGGGCTGTCGCACAGAACAGAAAGACATTACATAAGCTCAGCATCACTCATGTCCTGAACGCAGCACACGCCAAGCAGGGCAGCATCGGTGACCAGACTTTTTATGGGAACACCTGCGTTTACTTCGGCATCCCAGCAGAGGATTCGGACCACTTTGACCTCAGCCAGTACTTCAAACATGCAGCTGACTTCATACACACGGCCCTGAAAAGCAAAGACGGTAAAATGAATGTGAACATGAATGTGACACCTGTTGTCCCATCAGGAATTTACTCTGTCTTGATTCGCATTTTCCATTCTGCCCTACAGGAAAAGTGCTGGTGCATTGCATCATGGGCGTGAGTCGTTCAGCCACTTTGGTCCTGGCGTACTTGATGCTTCGGCAGCGTCTCTCTCTGAGAGATGCCCTGAGGCATGTCGTCCAAAAACGAGCCATTTATCCCAACAGGAACTTCCTGTCCCTCCTCCTCAAGCTGGACGAGCAGCTGACCCGCAAAAGGAGGTTGTGTCCTCTTCTCTGACGTCCCTTTTTCTCTCTTTTCTTTGCTCCTTCATTTCATTTGTCACCTCAAGGCCTCTCCATGTGCTACACTCCAATTTAACCAGTACCTGCAGCATTTGTAAATAATAATCAGAATGATGTAGTCAGAGCTGTGAGTCTGAAGAGAATCTATATTTTATTTATATGGTTGTTTACTTTCATTGCACAAGTGCTCATGTTGTGACTTTTTCATTATTGTAAATATCTAGTTACAGTCATATTAACACGTAATACTTCTCTGGGTTTGTTTTTCATATTCAAACTGTATCTGCTGTGTAAATACAGCTTTGTGATTGTTGTAATATTCATTAAAGACATTTTGTTATATCTCAGTGGAATTTATTGGCAGCTTGAACATAAAATATGTAATCTACATTTTTTTTAAATGTGTGTTTTAAACTATGCGCATCATCACACTTTTTAATAAGACTTAGCTTTGTTTCAACTGTCATTTTTCATCAACAAAGACTCTCTCTGGTCAAAAACACTTTACAATTTTTAAAAACCATGATCCTATTAACTATATCCTTGATCATATCCTCTAACAAAAACTGTCAATTGATTGTTTAATTATAGCTGCATATTTTTACTTTTTATAAAATTATTTTTTACGTAAAAGAAAACAGCAGATATTCTCAGTTTTCTAAATGGATTTCCATGTGAGCAAACAAATTTTAAAAATGATGGAAAAATAAAGCGCTTTTATGAGTCAGTAACAAAATAAAGATTGCAACAAATAATAATAACCTTTATGAATTATAAACACTTTTCAGCTCATAATAAAAGACAAGTAACATGAGGATTTCATGACTCAAATGTTAAGTCATATTGGACGTGTTTGCCTCTTTTTAAACAATTTGTAATTCATTTTTTACAAATTTGACCTAAATTTAAAATGATCCAGACCACTTTCAACACAGCACAAGTCTAAACTGAACCATCACACTAACAGACAGACAAACACAAGCAGCAGCTCCTTAAGTTGTGATTTAATGAAGGCTTTTTCTCCTTTTCTATGACAGTAAACTGAATATGTTTGGATTGTGGACAAAACAACCATCGTCATCTTGAGCTGTGGCAAACACTGACTGACAATTTTTACTGTTTTCTAACATTTTCTAGCAGAAACAGCTCATGAAAACAATAATTGTCAAATCAGTCAGAAATGAAAGTAATCACCACTTGCAGCCGTAATATGCATTTAGTCTGGTTTCCACAAAGCACTGCAGATGATTGTGTTTTTAAAGAATAGATTTGCAATAGTTGTAGCGTGATGCTCACAATTCATATCTTTTGTTTTTCCATGAAGAACGCAGGCAAAATATTAATGAATTCAAAGGAAACTGTTTAAAAGTTCCCCACAGCAGAGCCCTTTTCAGACATGTGCTCCTTTATGTTAATGTGACAGCAGCTGAACGTGTCAGCTTCACGTCTCAATGACATCATGCTCCCATTTCTTTAAAAGTCGTGACAGTTTAATCAGGTCAGACTAAGCAGCATTTCTGTATCACTTTCAACACAAGCCTGAACAGCATCCATTAACGTGCATGAAACAGTACTTCAGGTTGTGTAAAGTGGTTTAAAAAAGGCTTCGTCTACATTTCAGCACCCATATTTGTCCAAAAACACCAGAGAGAGACTTTATTAAATACTGGGAGCATCAGACAGCAAGAGAGCTGCATGAATTTGCACACATGAACCAACAGCACCAGTAACTTCATCAATTATCTTGTAATTATAAACTTTCCCCAACATGGAGACAGGATTTTTGTATATTGTATTGACTAGGATAATGTTGTTTTTAAATTATCTTAGGCATCTTTTGCGGTGTGTGTGTGTGTGTGTGTGTGTGTTTGTTTTGCATTTTTGTGATTTTGTTTGTTTGTTTGTTTGTTTGTCTTTGTTCCCGGAATGTTCTTATCTATTATGTCCTTTAAGAATATGGCTTTGTGGTAGCATTGTTAAAATAACATAACATTGTTAGAACATTATGCTGTAACATATTTACAGCCTGAGCTTTTTTGTTTGTTTGTTTTGTTTGTTTTGTTCCCAGAATGTTCTTCTTAAATGAATAATAACATTCTCTAAATATTTGGCAATAGCTTTCTTAAAATCTTGGGTGATAACATTGTTAGAACATTATGTTGTAATGTTTCCACTGAGGTTTCTTTCTTGCTTTTTTCCCAAAGCTAAAATAATATTCTCCAAAAATATTTTGTAATAACCAACAAATCTTTGGTGATAACATTGTTAGAACATTATGCTCTAACATGCCTGAAACCTTTTCAGTGCTATTTTTTTTCTTTCAAAGGAGCAGAGCAGCAGGTGTGACTCTGGGTGGCAACACAGACACATGGGCCTCAGCGACACGTTACATAACAGTCAGCAGTCATCATGGAAACAAGTGAGCTCATGTTAAAGTTCACAGGAACGCGCCACATTGTTTTCCATAAGAATGGGACCTCAGGCATGTAGTCAAAATGGATTAAATGTGTTATAAAGGGGCTGCTGATGAATACGAGTCTGCAGGACGTGTTTGCCACTAATGAGTGTATGATTACAGAGTTATAAAAGGAAACAGGCTGCAGTTGTGTGTGGGTGTTTATGGAGAAATAAGAGCGGGCATGGTGGGAGAAGAGTTTGTACTGCCTTGAAGTGAGGTAAGCTTCATTTGATTCACGGGGGGAAACAGTGAACGTTTGCGGATGTTTTAGGTTTGTGCTTGTCGATGCATACTGATGTGTCTTGGTCAGAAAAGATTATTCTAAGAATAGGGTGCAGGAGTGGCTCAGAGTTTTAGATAGCACTCAGAACATACTCCGTACATAGTGAACTGTTAGTAAATGGTCCTTGTGTATTTGTGTGTGTGTGTGTTTGTAGGTGTATTTGTGTGTGTATGCTGGTACAGTATGTCTCTCAGAGATCCTCCGTATGAACCCCCGTCAGTCTCAGAGCTGACCGAGTTCCTGTTGGCCGACAGACGACCGACTGGACACGTCAATCAAGTGTGGCCCAACCTTTACATCGGCAACGAGTCAGTTTCCTCACAACGCAATGCACACACATGCAGCTGTATACGCTCAGAAAAATAATGGCTCCTCAGTGGTTCTTCAGAAGGTTCTCTGATTCTTAAAGGCACCACCATCGCCAGTAGAACCTGTTTATTTAGGGGGTGGTTCCTCAAATTACTAGAGGTTCTTTATTTTTTTTTATTAATCATTAAAAAATCTAAAAACAATGACAAATAGTTTCCCAAGTTCCAACATGGCATCTAGTAGTATGTTCCTCAGTTGGACAAACAATCCAGAACCTAAACATTATGGAAGGGACCCAAAAAAGCTGTAAAATCTTACATTTGGCTTTTTTTTTTTCTGAAAAAAAATCCTACTAAATCAAGTCCTGTTAACAAAATAGAGCCAGATGGGTCAATTATCTTCATAATGCTTAATTTAAGAGCCTGTATTGCTGAAGTTCTTTGGAGCATTTTCCTGTTGCATTACGGATCCATTTTTTAAAATGTTTTTTTGTGGCACCTTTGGAGGTTATTTTAAAGAGCCTCTTACTAAATAGGTCCTTTTGTGTGATTAAAAATAAAACATCACTGAGAAGAACAATGTTTGGTTCAAGTTAGCACCTGTATTGTTCTGAGTGTGCACATCCTTTGCTCGTACTGGAGTGAATGTGTGATTGTGTTTCAGGGTGGCAGCTCGTGACAAGGGAACGCTCCACAGTCTGGGCATAACTCACATCGTTAATGCTGCTCATGGACCGCCCAGCCCCGGCCCTGGACCCTGTTTCTATGTCAACACTGGTCCGCGTTTCTACAGAGACCTGACCGTGGATTATTATGGGGTGGAGGCTGATGATGCAATAGAGTTCATCCTCAGTCCGTTCTTCTATCCAACCGCACGATACATCAGAGCTGCGCTGGCCATGGGAGGCAAGTCAGCAGTTATCTTACAGTGTGTGATTAGACTTACACTCAGGGACCACTTTAAAGGAAAAATAAGACACACAGTGACCCAAGTGAGAGACAAAATGGCAAAAAAATGAGACAAAACAACACGTGAGACACAAAATGAGACAAAGAAGATACAAAACGACAAAAACGAGATACAGAATGACACAAAGGAGAAACAAAACGAGCCATATGAGACACAAAATGACAAACAGAAGACACATGAAAAAAATGAGATAAAAAGCAACAGAAAGGAGACGCAGCTGTCCCAAAGAGACATGAAACAACATAGACACCACACAAAAGAAAAGTAAAACACAAAAAGACACAAATGAGAAACACAGTCACTCAAATGAGATAACGAACAAGAAAAATGACAAAAGACAAATGAGACACGGCATGACAAAAGACAGACACAAAAGTGTTATAAAGAGACATTTACAAAATGTCACAAATGAGACAAAAACAAGAGGCGACAACACAAATGAGACACAAAACAATACAAATAAGACAAAAAAAGACGAAAAAATTGACAAAACAACAAGCAACACACAAAACAAGACAAACAAGATACAAAACAACAAAAAACAAGATACAAAATGACACAAATGTGACACAAAATGGCAAAAAATGAGACAAGACACAAAACGACAAAAACGAGACACAAAATGATACAAAGGAGAAACAAATAAGACGCAATATGACAAAAATGAGGCACAACATAACAAAAACGAGACAAAAAAATAACAGAAAGGAGACACAACTTTCCCAAAGAGACATGAAACAACATAGACACCACACAAAAGAAAAGTAAAGCACAAAAAGACACAAATGAGAAACACAATCACTCAAACGAGGTACAAAAGAACAAGAATGAGAGACAAAAGACAAATGAGACACATCATGCCAAAAGAGAAATGCAAAACAGTAAAAACTGTCTTAAAGAGACATTCACAAAATGTCCCAAATGAGACACCAAAATAAAGACAAGAAGCAAAAATAAAAACACAAAACGATGCAAATGAGACGTAAAATGTCAAAAATGAGACATAAAACAACACAAATGAGACAAAAAAAGACAAAAAAAATTAGACAAAACAACAAGCAACACACAAAACAAGACAAACAAGATACAAAACATTAAACATGAGATACAAAATGAGGCAAATGTGGCACAACACGAGACAAATCACACAACAAATACCGATGACCACAGCTGCCAGTACTTTACTCTAAATATATGGAGATTGCTTTTTTAGAGTACTGAAAAATGTTTCAAATATTCTGCCACTTGTTTATGTGAAGAACAGAAAATCTGAGGCATCTGTCAAAATCATTTAATCCAGTAACTATAAAATAGAAAATAAAATAACTGAACCTAATTGAATTTGGTCACTTCTGATTAAAAAAAAAAAAAAAAAAAAAAAAAAGACAAAATGAACATTATGAACTTAATGAGCAGAGCATCGATGTACTTGATTCTATGATGTTGTATATATATATATCTCATAAGGGCCACTGAGTGTACATGTTTCTGCATATCTGGTGCTGAAGGTGACAGCAAACGTCTCTGTCTCAGGACGGGTGTTTGTTCACTGTCTGATGGGTGTGAGTCGCTCTGCAACCTTAGTGCTGGCCTTCCTCATGATCACCGAGGGCCTGAGGTTGAAGGAAGCCGTGGCTGCCGTCAGACCACACCGAGACATCTGTCCCAACCCGGGATTCCTGCAGCAGCTCCGCAGCCTCGACATGAGCCTGGAGAGGGAGAGGAGGAGACGGCGACAGGCCCAAACACTGTAAACTCACACTCAGACACACACAAAGCCATAAACATCAACACATGCACACATACAGACACACACATCTTTATTGCTGCAGAGGTCAGTTAACCCGGCAGGAGGAAACGCCGTCTCTGACAGAGCTAAGGCAAATTCTCTGGACTAACAGGAAGCCAGTGGCGCCTTTCAGTCAAGTCTGGCCGAACCTCTACATTGGAGATGAGTGAGTGGAAAAATCACATTCAGCACCGTGAAATGATGCCAAAAGATATTGTTATAGATCCGTTTTGATGTGGTGTGTGTGTGTGTGTGTGTGTGTGTGCAGATCTGTGGCACGAGATAAACCCACACTCTCATCTCTGGGTGTTACTCACATACTGAACGCTGCAGCAGGTCGACATCGTATCAACACAGGTCAGCAGTTCTACAGTGATCTTCAAGTGGAATATTACGGTGTCGAAGCTGCAGATCATCCAGAGTTTGATCTCCAGCCTTTCTTCAGCTCCGCTGCACAGTTCATAGACGGAGCTCTGAGGGAAAATGGTCAGTGACATCATGCAACAACAGAACCTAACCCACAGTTAATTGTCAGCTATGAGTGCACTTTTTTTTTTTTAGAGCATTAACTGCACAAAAATAATAACTAAATCACCAATCAAATCAAATACTGATGTGAAAATCAGTTTTTGAAAAAAAGGGCAAAAATTGCCAAAAAGGGTGCCAGAAAAAAAAACAAAAAACCAGTGGAATTCTGAAACATCCAAAAGCTGTACAAAGGGTGAAAATAAAGGCATATTCTATAAAATAATGTTGCTGTTTTTCTAGCTAATTTAAATACAGTGAGATTTTATAGTCTCAAGTTGTATAAGAATGAATTGCTATTTGTAAAAATGCAGATTTTTGATGTATACATTATGTATAGTTTGTCCTGTTTTGTCTTTTTTTAAGACAATATTTAAATGAATACTTTTTTCTGTGTTTTTACTAGATATATTTGTATTTTCACAAAACAGAGACAAATCTGTCAAATAACAATTAGAAAATGATTTAACATTTTTCAGTCATCAATATATGTACATTTTCTTTAAGAAATTTTCTTTTAAAAATAGAATATTTTTACCTGATTTAAATACAGTAAAAAAGTGTAAGTTTACAGTCAAACAGTGAAAAAGTATGGGGTTTTTTTTGTTTTTTTTAAAAAAAAAATGAAACAACAAATAAACCACACACACACAAAGAATTTTTTTTTATGTGGACATTTTCTATGGTTTTGCTCTGCTTTCTTTTGATTTCAGAAAATAAACACCATTTTTTCTGTGATTTTACTCAATATTATCCGTAACAAACCAGGCAACATCTGGAAAATAACAGCAACCTGTCAGAAAGAAATGTTAAAAACCCTTTGTTCCTGTTAAAATACTCTAAACATATTTATAAATATTATGGGATTACAGAAAAGCTTAGCCACAATGTTGAAACGTAATTACTAAGCATATTAATTAATTAGTCTTTTAGCTGCACAGAACAATGTTGATAAAGAGAGAAAACTAAACTGTGAAGTATTAAGCTTCTTCTTCCTTAAAGGCAAAGTCCTCATCTGTAATTGCCTTCTTCGTCAAATAAAGTATATATCTAAATGTATAATAGTAGATAATTAATAGCATTATTATGCTGTGGTCTGTAAACTAAGAGAGACTTACATTTCACAGCATACACATTTGATATATTTCATAAAACTCACAGTGTTTGGTTGATTTAGCTGTGCCAGTTGAACTTATGGCATATTAGTTGGTTGTGTCTCCATCTTGATCACTGACCTCCCTAAATAATAGATATGAATATGTAAAATATATAAACAAAGAGTTATGGACAGCCTGAACTGAAAAATACATCAAAGTTTCAAACAATATTTTTGAAGTGATATTAAATATTCTAATCAAAGCATGTTTCAGGGAAGGTGTTTGTTCACTGTGCCATGGGTGTCAGCCGCTCTGGAGCTCTGGTTTTGGCGTATCTGATGATCTGCCACGGCCTGCCTTTAGTGGAGTCCATCATCGCTGTGCGCCTGAACCGAGACATTGGACCAAACTCTGGATTTCTGGAGCAGCTCAGACATCTGGATCTGAGTCTCAGTCCACAGAGCAGACGGATCACAAAGCAGGACGGCTCTGACTCGTCCTGATATGCCATTTCTCCTGTTGGGCATTTGTTTTAGTTCAATCCACATTTTCTCTCATAATTAAAATGCAAAAAAAAAACCCTGAAATGTGAGTCATTTGTTACAAGAAATGCTTGGTATATTCTCATTTCTCCAATCACAGTTATAAGAGTTGAATGGTTCAGATTTTATGTCTCCAGAAATAACTGACAGATCGTCACACCTGTCCACACATTACTGACATTCTCATGATGACAACGATGCAACCTGCCACTCTCGCTAAACTTCTTTTGTTTTCTGAGAACTCGTTCATCACGATTAGGTGTCTTTCGTTACCATATAGAGGAAAGTCATTACTGTGATATGAGTGGGCTCAGATCACATTAAGAAAGCTATGAGAAAGCATCTGTGTGTGTCACGTTGTAGAGGTCAGGTGTTGGAGGCCAGCTGCCTAAAAATATCATCTTAAACACAGAGCCTGAGAGAGCAGTTACCATTCCAGATCTGTATTTCAGTCTTCAGGCTTCCCGCAGAGGGAGGGCTCTGTTGATACTCACACATGCGCACACAAACACACACACACAGTTCACACATGTCCACTGAGGAAAGCTGAACTTTGGATTTCTGCTTAGATTTGGAAAACGTAAGTAATTGCTTTCTATTATATGACATGTATTTTTTTTTATGTCATTAAGCAGCTTAAACAAGTAGATGATTTCAGTTTAATTCAATTTAATTTCAGTAATATGGTGTCAGTTGACAACACAAGTCATCTCAGGGCACACACAGTAAGGTCAAGATCTTACAATGTTATATTTTAAAGAGAAACCGGACAAACCCAAAGATCTGACACCTTCCAGCTTCGGTTCTCTACACAGTTTTACTCACAAACTAATTTCAAAAAGATGCGCATGAAGTCTTTGGTAGAGAGTAAGATTGCAGAGAGCCTAAATATGGTTGCAAATGAGTATAATAGTTATCAATTCTAATTTAATTGTGGTTTATGGATATCAGCTTTATTAATTTCTTGTAGATTGTCAGATGAATTGATACATTTTATAACAGATTTCATGAAAAATAAATACAGATTTTAAAAAAAACAGCTGTATTCTGTTTTATCAACTGCTTCCTCATCCTTCATTTATTTTCCATGTTTCTATCTATCATACTTTGAGTAACATTTCTCTTTGTGACACAACAAACAGTAACTCTCACTGTCTGTCTCTTGAACATGCATGTGGCTACAAAAAAAGTGACATCTGTTCGTCGTGGACTGCTATAGTTAAGCTCAACAGCTGATAAGTGAAGCTGTGCTGCAACCCTCGCCCCACTAAAAAAAAAAAAATCCCCACGTGGTGCATAAATGAATGAATGAATGGAAATGTTCACGGTGTTTGAAACCAGTTAATCACAATCTATTCCCATTTCAAACACATGTTCCCAAATCAGTTGTAAATTTATTCCCACAATAAAAATGCATTTTCACACTAATTTACAAGTGTCATTGGTATACATCAAATATGCATTGTTCTATTTAATTATGTGTAAATCTCCACATAAATAATGCAACGTAAATGAATGTATATATACAGGAATGTATGAATGCCTCTTGGAATCAGACAAGAGGCAACAAAATGTGTTATTACCACTTGTATAAAAGCTAACTATATCCTCAATACGTCTGCTACAGGTACAATAGGTGATATACTGTGTACAGGGTTGTGATTTTTCATTATTTATCTGCTGATTATTTTCTTGATTGGTTATTTGATCTATAACATGTCAGAAAATGGCTCATCATAGCTCCTGAGAGTTTATTTTTACTAAAAATGTTCTGTTTTGTCTAACTGACAATCCACAATCCAAAGAGAAAACAGCACATTTATAGAAATTGTTGCCTTTTTGTTGATCAGTTAATCAATAAATTGACCCATCAGGGCTGTAAAACTGCATGTCACAACATCCCTGGTGTACAGGTGTAAATATTACATCTCCACACAGCTTGGCAGCAGACAACAATGTGCGAATGTTCATTTGGTTCTTGATTAAGTTCAAGGATGTGTGTGTTTCTTGGACAGTGGAGGTGAGACATGTCCTCCTGTGCGGTGAAGTCCAGAAGCAGGAACCCGTACGCAGCAGTGCAGGTGGACCCAGATAGTGACTATATCACACCAGGAACATTAGACCTGGAGCAGATGTTCTGGAGTGGCAGCGCAGTTCAGTATACACATGTCAATGAGGTCTGGCCCAGCATCTACATCGGGGACGAGTGAGTGCATGAACCTACATGATGCTGAGCTCTTTAGCACAATTTAGACTACAACTTAGTCTGATGTGTCAAAGTTCAGTGTGACTCCTTGATATTCAGAGTGTGTGTGTTGCAGGAAAACAGCTCTGGAGTGTGCAGGCCTGAGGGATCTGGGTGTCACACATGTCCTGAATGCAGCAGAGGGAAAATTTAACAACGTGCTGACTGGAGCTGATTACTACAGTGACACAGACATCCAGTACTTTGGTGTAGAAGCTGATGATAAACCCACGTTCAACATCTCCCAGTACTTCTGTTCTGCAGCCCAGTTCATCCATGAGGCCCTCGTTCAACCACAGAGTGAGTCCTGGGGGGCAGTGAGGGGCAGCATGTATTTGTTTTTGTGCTACTTGAAGCTTCTAATGGATCCATCTATGTCTACTTTTTCCAGACAAGGTGCTGGTGCACTGCGTAATGGGTCGGAGCAGGTCAGCAACCCTGGTGTTGGCATACCTGATGATGAAACACAGCTTAACTGTAGTAGATGCTATTGAGCATGTGCGACAGCGCCGTTGTATTCTGCCTAATCACGGCTTCCTGAAACAGCTCAGAGCCTTGGACATTGCATTGCAAGAGGAAAGACTGCAACAAAAGAGAGAAACGCAAGAAAACAGTACACAACAGATAACATGTCTCTAATATAATGATGTGCATATTGGACTGTTCATGTTTCTTTAATCATGGTATCATTAAACTGTTTTGTTTTTCCACAACTGTCTCATGTCGATCTTTTGAAATAGGCCACAGAATTAACAGAAAGGATCTGGCTCAGTCAGGTATTCTGTTTTAGCGAGTATACGTGGCACAGCTTAGCATGAGATGATCACATCTAGCCTGGATGCTGCATCTTGTGAGGAGCAAAACTGTAATTCTGATTCAGGGAGGGGACAAAATGTGATATTTATTAAACTTTTGTCATCACTCAGGGATACTTGCCAGTTTCTGCTTGTTCTTCTTCCACAATCTGACATTTGAAAACCAACTATTTGTCTCAGAGCACTCATGATTCAACATCTTAAGATTTCACCAGTAACTTGTGTTTCCATCTGCAAAGTGCACATCTGAACACTAATGGTATATTAAGAGAATTGTGCTATCCTGTTTTTTTTATTGTCCAAATCTTTTTTTCTATCAGAGATGTGAAGCAAATACAGTAGATCTCTCACAAAGGTAGCTTTAAGTCTAATTTATAGAACTTGCTAGTGATTTTAAAGACAAAATAAAAATACTCAAACAAATAAATGATTTGAACAAAACGATTTTTTTTATTTGTCAGTTTCAGTCATCACACTCGACTGCAGAGATGGGTAACTTGAGCGTTACTGAGATCAGGAATAAAAGGTCACATAAGGCTTTTTGGTGCATCTGAAGGTATAAAGAAACAGTCTGTTAAATGGAGGGACGCTGTACAACATATTAGTACTACCAGACACACAGGTTTCAAAACACCGCTTGCAGCATTAGGAAAACTGCACATGCTTCTTGCATTTTCATGAATACTTTAGATTTTGTCTGTATGTAGGCTTGTTTTGTTCAAGTATTCCATGTAACACAGACCACAACACAACAGAATCTCATGCAAGTACAGATGCTTTGAAACGTTTGGCCCCATATCACAGTTAGCTAATGTTTATGATTTCTTTTGGATCTTTCATTTGTAGCAGTTGTCAAGTTTTAAAATATGAAAATTTGACTGGATTAAAATGCATACTTCCATTTCATTCGTAACTGATCCAACAAAGCTGACAGTCTTGTAGTTAGGTTGAATATTCAAATGAAAAACAAACAATAGAGAAAGGGTATGTTTTTATATCCACTGTATTCCTCTGACAGAGAACTTCCACATATAGTGATCTCTTTTCAACATGCTTCACGTGCATTTTAGAAATGTAATGTGTCAGTTTACGCCGCCACTAACCACCAGCTGCCCATCACTGATCGAGCTTTCAAGTTTCCATGCGCAGAAAAATTGGTTTACATAACATATGTACACCTCTGCTCATCACGTTCAATTTTGTAATATTTAAAGAGGAAGGAAGAAAGAAAGAAAGGCACTCGTTACTTTATGCAGCTTCTCACAAACAGCCTGGACAGAACAAGATAAGTTATGAACATCAAGTAAAGCTGACATTTAACATTTCTCACAGGACTCAATGAGCAGAGGCTTTGACACATTTAAAATGTGTGCACCTAAAAACCATTTGGTTTTACAACTGGCCCGTTAAATGAAATCTAAACAATACTAAAAGTCATAAAACAAATCACTACTACACATTTCAGTGCCGTATCCAAAGCATCCCTTGACAGCAGTGTTTTATTCTTCAGTCCTCTGAGTGTAATGTGTCCTCCTACCGGAATAGGCTGATGTGCTTACATTGTACTCGTGAGATGTTGAGACAAGTGCTTGCAGTAAAGTCTGATGCTGGAAGTGTCAGAGCCAAAGTACATTTAGAAACAATCCCAAAACTACTGTCCATGATAACAGGATTTAACATTTGAATCCCTTGTGTGAAGCACAATTATTACATTTCCCTGTATTACCACGATGCCTTTATGGTAATTTAAATAAAGAGAAAACTCCCTTAGTGCTTGGCTGCACAATCCTCTAGTGGCCCCAAGTGGAGAACATGGAGATGGACACAACTCAGCAGGCACCCAACACTCAATTAGTAAGAAATTATTTTAAAAAAATAACACGGACGGGTGGCTGATTTTGAAAAAAAAAAGAAAAATTGCATGTATTTGGCTGTATTTGTAGAAAATTGTGAAAATCATGGGTCAGAGTTACGAAGGCAGGGTGAGTATGAGGTTTCAGGAAGAAGAAAAGATCTTCAGGAATCCTCAATTGAAGTCGGGTTTTTCTGGGAAGGTGCAACCTACTCGTCTGATGATGACATTGGCACTGTAGTGTGCTGCCTTCACGCACATATCCAGAGATTTCTCCTGGACAAGCTCAGACAGGAAACCTGCATCACAAAGGGAATTTTTTTAACAGGAGATTCACAGAACAAAAAACACAAGAAAGATGCAAAGTAACCGAGAAAAGCGTCAAATGAAAACATGGGAAAATCTTACCTCCTACAAAGGCGTCACCTGCACCGTTTGTGTCAACAAGGTCCTTGGGGTCGATCTTCATTACAGGGAAAGTCTCAACCTTGTCATCTGAATAAGCACAAAAACAATATAAGTATACCTCTACAAGAGGAGAAAAAGACAAAGAGAAATGAGAGTGACATGAGGGAAGGGAAGAAAGCAAATCTTACTGAGAGCCATAACAGTGTCATCCTTCCCTTGGGTCAAAACTACAATCCTCTGTCTCTTCTTGTTGACTTTGGGTAAAGCCTGGGCTTTCTTGGCAATTTCCTTCACGTCCTTGGTCTGCAGACAAAACACACACCGACACAGTCAGTTGATGGTGCACGAAATGAATGAAAAATGCAGCACAAGCCATGTGCAAATTCTAAACAAGACTGTCACCACACGTACCTTAAAGTCTTGCTCTTTAGCAAAAGCAGCTGCTTCCTGAGAAAACAAACACATTCATGACTTACTCAAAGATATGCAAATCATCATGTGGTTGACACAAAAGTCTGCACAAGCATGTGTGGAGAATGTACAGTGAAAGCATGGCTTACTGTCTCATTGCCGAACAGCACGTCAACGTAGGGCATAACCTGCATGAGGTTGTCCTTGAAGAACTGGCAGATGAACGGCGCGGAGAGGTTCATGCAGAACAGCTTGTTATTTTCAGAAGCGTGCTTTGCCACTTTCAGGATGGACTCCAAAGAGACAGTCAGGAAGAAACCCTGGAAGGAAGGAATGACACCGGGTCAAGACTAATCTGCTTTTTATATCTGATGGCTCTATTGAATCATGTACAGTAATGTGCCGAGCAGGAAATGCACCAGTACGTCTCCAAACACCCACGCAGATCCTGTGGTAGCCAGTACGAAGGCAATGATCTGATATATGAGGAGTAAATGGCACAATTTACCATGTAGTGACTAATACTCACAGCAATATAGTAGACTTTAGCTTTTTCCACCAGCTTCCAGTTTTCTTCCAGGTCTAGATGCTTATCCTTCTTATAGCAGTTAGCAGCAGCTAGGTTAGCAACCAGAGACCTGAGAGGAAGAAACAAGAACAGAGAGTTAGTGACTGTTAAAGTTCCCATATGGTTTCCATTTTCAGCAACTTAATAAAAGTCTCACATGCCTCCAGAACGTGACTTTCACATTTTCTGCTCAAAACATTGCAAAGATGACTCATTTCACAATGACTGTGTAACCCTGGTTTTAACCAGGAAGAAGACTCTCTGCATTAGTGATTGAAAGCGCAAAGAAAAACAGTTCACCACAGCAGCCAACACAGGATTTTTTTAATCACTTAACTTTCTGGAATGAAAGTCCACATAGCGATTATTTTTCATGGAAATATTGCCAAATTCACAAGTCAGTCAATGCAGTTACAAAATAAGTATTTTGACCTGTCCAGAGCAGCAAGTAACTGTTGGTTAACACAGGCTTAATGGGCTGCGTCTCAGTCTCCATTTGAAAACTTGTTTTGTTGTCTGACAGCTAAAGACTATGTAAACGAGAACAGCTGTATTGGGAATTTGGCTGTATTAAAATGCATTTCTATGTGTGCAAAGAGACTGGGACAGATGTAGACAGATGTACAAACCCACTGAGTTCAGATTGTATTGAAAACACAGCCGCCCAGTGTTTATTGGTTTCAAATCAGTCTTAAAGTTTCAACTATCTGAATGCTCCTTAGCTTTACAGCGCCCACAGAGCTCTGACCAGTGGGCATACGATCAAAGCTAGTGGTAATGTAACACTAAGATTAAGGCAGTGAGGGAGCACGAGTACGCAAAGTTTGATGATTGCTGGTATGTAGCATTTCAGGAAAATTCTTAGGTGCTTGTAAAGCCAGGAGGCTGACTAGTTACGGGGAGGCTAAAGGAACGTCAATTTCTAACAACCACAAAACACAATAGAAATGGATTTCCATCATTTGGGACCTTCAAGATTATAATGAGCCAACACATTTTTATTATTTTATTTACTCACCTGTTATCTCCGGTGATGCAAGCTGCACACGACCCTGTGGGCTCTTCGTCCTGCTCGTAGTAGTTGGCGTCGATGTGAGCCTCTTCAGCCTTCTGCTTCAGGATCTCTCCAAACTTGTCTTTGCCAATGCAGCCGAAGAACGTTCCCACATTATGGGGTTCTTGGATCATCCACTGCAAACGATGGCAACGGTTCACATCAACAGAAGCCGATCGACTCTACATGCAGAAACCAACAATCACAGTAATATTAGTGAGTTTGTGCGTGCGTGACTGACCTGAGCGATCTTTATGGAGTTCTGTGTGGCTCCTCCGGCGTGGTACTCGACTTTGAACTTCTTCACCAGCTCCTCAAATCTACTCACAGAGATGAATAATTCACATAATTCACATCACCAAAAGAAGAGTCAGTGTCATACAAAACACTTTGTCCAATTCTGCAAAACTGAGACCTATGATATCATTCTGTGGGGTGCTGGTTTCAAACCTCAGCACACACAAACTATTAATTATGGCTGAGTACATGATCATATGGTGGAGTAATTACCAAATTGTCAGTTTGGCACTGAAGGCTTAGCACGAGAGGAATACTCCTGACTTTTTGGGAAACACACATATTGTCTTTCTTGCAGAGAAAGAAGCAGTCCTGCTCTGTCTAAATTAAATAAAAGATATACAATATATTAGTCAATGGTTGTTTTAAAACTCTGGACAAAGCTAGCGGTTTACCTTTGTTTCCAAAACTTCATGCAAAGCTGTCTAACCGTCTCCTGGCTGCAGCTTCATAATTAATAAACAAACATGAGAGATGTACATGTCTTCTCATCAAACTCTTAACAAGAAAGCAAATTTCCCAAAATGTTTAACTGTCTGTTTGAGCCGTATTTACTTTTTGTTAGATCAGACACTAGAACACACACATCATTAACTGACTATAAGCGACTCTAACATTTACAGCTGTTCAGCAGCAGCATTAATCATGTGGGTGTTGTATTGGTTTTGCATGACATTGCACACCGCCTGCGTTTACTGTGTCCACCCATGTGGCGTGTTTGGTGATTGATGATTGAAGGCCATTAAATGAATATAGTATCAGACTACACTCTCTGCAGAAGGCAGCCACACATTTTCTCCAGGTAAAGTATACAATACATGCATGACTGTCCATACAAGCTGGACCACTAAGGTTATATAACACATTGAAGTCACGCTTTGAGGTTCTGCTTTAAGCTGATGCATCTCGAAGTTACAATGCCATCTAAATATAGCTGCTGCATGAACCTACACAGCAATATGTGTTTGTGTGGTTAAGGGAGTGTTGGAGAAGCTGAAACAGGCTCGCTGCTGCTAAAGGTCCTGAGACTGAGCCAGAGGTTGCAGAGGGGGAGTCATTTGGGGTGATGGGAAGAAAAATGGAGGAGGATGAATATCTATTGTAGAAATTATCTCGTTCTTACACTCCATTGTGTCCTCTAAGTATTTTCACCAGGGGAAATCTCAAGCATATTAGTATTCCCTGAATGAGGACTAAAACAAGAAACGCCTGAGAGGCTTAAATACCAGCAAGATTGGCACGTTAAACATGTGGAGACTCACACCTTCATACCAGTGATTCCACTGTTAAGTCATCCACTGATCACCTCTAAAGTTGGAAAGAATGAGTACAAATCTTTCCAGTCATAAACGCTTATTATATATAGGAGATGTCTTTAGTGGTCACTTAACATCCATCTTTATACTGTAAATATCTGGGTGTTGAATTTCCCTTCTGGGATAAATAAAGTATTTTTCATTTCATTCATTCATATGGCAAATGACCTCAAAAACATATTGCATAAAGTGTGAATGTGCATTTGTCTTGACAAGCGCTATTGCACCTGTATAAAGCAGATATTACAAAAGAATAACCTGTTGTTACTGTAAAGAGACAGAATGTATCAGTATAAACACACATGCTCCCATATGACTTTCTTATCTCCTGCTGTTAAATGTTTGCTTTCTGGCTCTTGTCTCAAAGGGACTGGGAGGTGAAGTGTCCTGCTTTGCTATTGGATGAGACCATCTCACTGCTGCTCTGTCATTGGTCGTCTATAAAGGAACAGAGGTCAGTAGTGGTGACTCCTAGCATGCGCCTGTTTTGACTGGCCTGCTCCAGAACAGTGAGGCACAAACTTGGTATAAATTCAGACGCATTTATTTTCTCTCCTCCCCACAGAACATTGTCAGAACATTTAAATAAACCCATATGTAAGAGCTTTATTACCACGCTGTGATCTACAGCAAATGTTGCAATACAAAAAGGTACGTACAGGGCTTTGTGCTTGTCCTCAGCCAGGATCTGATCGTTGGGCTTCAGACTGTACCTGCAAATAATTAGAGAAAAATCAGACATTAGTTTCCTCGAGTCATCAGAGAAAAATTCCACCAATTGACCTATTTTCAAACACACACAAAAAGAAACTAAATTCTGTGTATTCAAAGACACAGTCATGGTGCTGCCAAATGTGTTGCTTGCTCCTATGGAAAAAGTGATAAATGAAAATATACAGCCAATAAATCAGCTTTGCTTCTATCAACAACCATTTTAACATTCCTGGTCCGAATCAATTTGTCGGCCAGTAATGCTAAACTGAGAGGAGCTTCCTCGAAAGAAAGACCAAGTAAGGTTGGGGATTAAAGTGTGGTTTTAGTCCTACTTTACCATACGTGAGACTGAATTAGAGCTGTGGTTGGCTGGTTTAGCTCTAATCCAGGAGTTTACGCAAGGGGTTTTTGAGTGGACACTGAGCTGGAACCCAAACAAGCCCTTTGCCCTGTTTGTCCTGGTCAACTCAGTGTGACAGCGCTCGGACAGACTGGACCGACCACGGCTGCTCTGTGAAGATTTCTGCTGACGGCTCCGAGTATTTCAGAAAAACTAACTAAACAAATGCTAAATGTGTAAGTAATTAAAATCTCGGGGTTTCTGAAGCATAGGGATGGAACACTCCTTTTACAGGAGATCTATAGTCTTCGACGAAAAAAGAAGACAAATTTTTGAGTCATGTGGTGAAACTGGAGCACCGTTAACTGCATTTAAGGCTGGGCTGAAGTGATTTAAACACATCAATAAATAATGACCAACAATGACGACGCGATAACAAAACAGGGAGAGGCACTGTTTGTGGTCACTCAGCCAGAACAATCTCATTTCGGGATACATTAGAAATATATCTGCTGGACACAGAGCTCTGGGGAGGCTGATTATTAGGTTTTTTTTTATCCTGAGCTCTGTTCTTGTTTGTCAGCGTTATCAAATCACATCAAGGGATCTCATTTTCTGTTGGTCTGTGACTTCTCTTCACTGCATTTCACTTGATCTGGCTGTGACTGTGCTTTATGGAGATTTTACAGCACAAACAACATGGATTCTGAATGATTATTTTTGCTTACTGAGCCTATGTTTGTTGATATTCAGTGTGTGTATTAATATTTTGAAAATAAAACTGTTTTTTTTAGGAGTCACCAGTGTGTTTTTACAAGTATGCAACATTTTATTATACCTCATTACCACACAACAAAACAGGAAGTGAAGAAAACACCACTTTATTCCATTACTTCAGTCCTTGAACTTACTTGTCCAAGATGTCTTTGTCCACTACAGCAATGATGTCCAGGAGGGGATTTCCCATGCCAAAGAGTGAATTCGGGCTGAAACAATAAGAAGGAACAAAAACACACCTCTTCAATAACTTGGTTGTAACGTGACAGCACTGACCAGAGACATTTTTATATGAATCCGTTGGTAAGAAGAGGCATGTCTTAGAGAGTCAGTGCCGTCTTATCTTGCTTGTCTTTACTTTACAAAGCTGTTCTTAATAATTCCTAAAACAAAGATGGTTTCATACTCTTTTAAACAGTCAGGCAGCCTTTGCTTCAGCACATTGCAGAAAGACAAATTTCACATCTTAAACATTAACGTTTGCTCAGTCCACTGAACGTTTTTATCCCGCTGTTGAGCATTCATTTGCGAAACCCCAGATTTTTGTTTCCACGTGACTTCAATCACATGACTTAAAACCTTCAATTCACACAGAAAGAAAAGCAGAAACAGAACATATCAGACACTTGGTCTGGGAACATGTATGACTCAACAACAGACATTACAAAAGAAGAAGAACGTGGTTGGTGGCAAGGCTCTGAGCACCCATGTATGTAACCGTGTTGCGCCAGGCAACATCAGGGCAGCAGTACGCAGCATGCACGCATGTGTCTGAGCTTATGCAGTCAGTTCTTTCCTCGGGGCAAACAGATGAATGTGGAGCTTGAAAATCAGAGCAAATCATAGTCTTGTGATGCCAGGATAGCTGCAGTTCAACAACTGGGGCTCGACAAAATGAAACAGTGACCAAAAGACACCTTCCATTTCTGCAACTGATTACAGCCAGCAAGTTAATCTGCAATCTTTCTTCATCCATTACCAAATACTGACTTTAATGTGCGCTATACATGAAGAGAACGTAGTGGCATGTCAGTAATACGTGTCCTCACATCTGTGTCTCAGTGTTGTTTTCACTCCTGCCTGTTCATCCTTGATGTTAACACAATCTTGTCTTGGGAAAACCCCAGATGGAGCGAGTCTTTGAACGCAGCCCCCTGACAGATGCCACCTCCACAGGAACATGTGCTACCATATTTCTAATGAAGCCTTTCTTTCAAGGCTCCCCTGGGGTCAAGATTAAAAGCAGCAAGACGAATTAACGTGGAAGAACGGCTTTTGAAGCGACAAAGCGGAGAGGAGATGCAGGCAGTCACTTGTGCTACACGGATGGGTTTTCCACTCTGGAAATAAACAAATCCATCTAAACAGCCGATGCCACACCCTTACTATCATCTCACACAGCATATACATGTGCCAATGTGCAGTCAGATGATTACAGATCCTGTGCAGCCAATTACACCACACCAGAACCCATTCTTGCCTTTCCATCCATATGTCAGCGTGCTCTTACCTTGCAGCAGACATGTTGCTCCTCTGTGTGTGTGTGGCAGACAGATACTGACAGACCTGTTGAGCAGCCTAAAACCAGCTCAGGAAAAGCTAAGCATTCAAAAAAACTTCACAATTTCAGCTCAGCGTGCGGGCAGATCGATTTTCCCCTGCAACCACCGCTCCTCCTACTCCGGACTGACTGATTGGAGGCATCTGAAGGAGGAAGGGCCACAGCAGTCCGACTCTGAGTGTCGATTGGCTCGTGGTGCTCCACTCTAGCCACGGTTCACTCATTCGTTTGAAGCTAAATTACAGCGTGAGAAGCGTGCTGATGACAGGGGGGCTGTAGAGATACCACGTTGTGATAACAGCAAGCTGCAAGCTCAGGTGCAGAAAGGAAGCTGATGTTTGATTTCTTCATAGGAAAGGAAAAAAAAATAAAAAAAATGGCATCAAAACATTACATAGTGTCGGCCACGTGACTGTTTTGCAATGCATTGTTTTGGGAGCTGGCGCTGCATGTCACAGCTTTCCCTGCAACCCAAGCAGTCCTTGGCACTGAATGGACAGAGCGCACGGACCAGCTGCAGCTTTTACGCATGCACGGCGGGCAGCATGTGGACACGTTGAACTTTAGACTAGATATTAGCTTCCTGGACGTAATACTTGCAAGAGCTACCTGTCTTCATTGGACAGCAGCATTTACACACCGCTGCTGACCTCTAGAGCTAACGTTAGCATCGTATCTGTACATCAAGATAACTGGATCAAAGGACTTTGCACCGGTCCACCTCTTCTCCCCTACAATGCAGCTTTAACCGCAGACCCAAAACGCAAAAGACCCCCAGATTTTCACCACTTCATGCATGCATCTGATGTGCTCCGGTTAACATTGTAAATACTACATTTTGTCTTGCGCACACGTTTTAACTCAGAGGAAGGTAGCGGTCTGCTCATCGCGCCGAATCATTATTACTGTTTTGATTATTGTTTCAGCTTTCGGTCACCTGAGTTTGGCAGGAGCCTTTTTGGTCGGAGACTCTGTCTTCTTCTCCTCCTCCTCCTTCTCCTTCTTCTCCTCTGAAAGTTTGAGTTTCTTTGCTTTAGGTTCTTCTGACGCCATGGCTGACTGGGCAAAGCACGTTGCAATCACCTTATAAGAACGCGGTCGTGCTATGAAGGAGGGAAAGTGTTTCCCTGAGCACAGACTCGCAGGCGCAGCAGCTTCCTCCAAGAGGGGTTGAGCATCTCCGGCCAAGACTTTCTTCTTCTTCTTCTTCTGCTTTTAACTCAATCAGTCTCATGGTGCATCATTGCCACCTACCGGACTGGATAAGAAAGAAAGAAAGAACAGCACTATGTATTTAAACAGCCTAACATGTTACACCTTCACATTCAATATGAAGAGTTGATTTGCAAAAACAGATAACTTCATATTCACAAACCTTCAGAAAACCCCCTTTCCCATCGTTTACCTGAGACAATATCAATCAAATTGACTGTCTGTGCCCCTACATTTAATGTCTCACCTTCTTTCTTTTACCATTATATGATATGAGAGAGATGAGTGACTTTGTGGAGAAATGTTTCCATGTCTAACCTGTCAGCTGTTAGCCTAAATGTAGCTAGTTAGCATGCTACTAAATGGAGTAACATGCTAACTGTTATAACCATTGGCCCATTCTATGCTATGGGTAAGGGCCAGTTCATGCTTTCCACGTCCGTGTGCACAGGCCAACAAGCAGACAGTGGACTCACACTTGACTCTGTTGATACTACAACATGGCAATCTGGGCAGACAGTTGCATTGTCTCTCATGTCTAACATAGAAAAACACATGGGGCAATTTTTCCAGGATATATGGGCTACCTACAGATTGAGCTGCCATGTCAGTGCGTATACACAGTGAGCAGACATAGCAAAGGATTTCTAGAGAATTTAGATTATAAAGCATGGATGATCGAGAATCCCCTCGTACGCTCCCTCCTCATACCAAACATTGGTTTTAAATACTGTTTTCCCGGCACATGCGCAGTCAGTGCTCTTGTAGGGCAAACAGTGCTCTTACAAATTTTGGGTTGGACAAACCCTTGAGGATGTAAACGTGGAATGTACGAATTGGTCTTAAGTGAGACAACAGCATGTGTAGGTAAAAATACAAACTAACAGCTCCCCACATCATTTTCATTTCTCTTTGCATCTACTTTGCTTAGTGAGTGGCAGAAAGGAGCAAAAAGCAGGAGGACAAGGAGCCAGCCAGTGGAAAAGTCCACAGCCTCATTTGCCCACATGCTCACATGGGCTGATACCAATAAAAACTGTAAATCAATTTCTAATCTAATAATTTATTAATATTGCATAATGTCATGAACAATAGCCTGACTGTACATTGAGGAAGTATGCTTCAGACTAACAAGTTGATTCTGAGAAAAGCAGTGTATGCCAAGGTTCAACTTTGCACAACAGAGTTGGCAAAATCTCAACTGCATACACATATATGAGCTGTAATTCTCTTGCTCATCTTGAAATTTAACTCTAAAACATCATAGCAATACTTGTTTTACATCCTCTGGATTGTTAGCCTATCTATAAATGTTTGTGCATATTGTCAATTTCTCTCGTGTAATGCGATGTTTCTTTACAAAGATGCACCAGTCCAAAACGTCCCATTAAAGTTATGCTGGAAACAGTCTTCTTGTAAAGAAAACTGCACAAAAAGTTGCACTAATCAATTTTTAAAAAAAAACAAAAACAAAAAAAAGTGTATTTTTGTGTGTGTAATGTTCAAGAAGGGCTATGTAGAATTCAAATTAGTTCATGATACTATTCACAACTGAAAGTAATGGGTAAAATAAATGCATACTGAGTAAGTACTAATAAAATATGTATGAATATAAAATAAGCGATAGCATTTTTTAAAGATGTGAGATGCTTAAAATAGCCTGATTTCCCTGGTTGTAGGGGTGTTGTGATATACCGATGCTGACATGTTGAAATATTTTGATATCATGTTATGTGAGAAAAAAAACCCATTATAACACTATCAATAACCCAGTGCCAGGAACTAACTGGTTGCCACTCTTGTGTATGAGCTACATACACAACAGTTACAGTTACAGGCTGTTGTACAGCTGGATTTTCAGTGTAATTCATTTCCCTAAAAAAAAAAAAAGATGAGAAAATCCACAAATGAATAATGTTAAACACAATCAGGCTTTTAGCATTTAAAAAAATAAAAAAAAATCTATAGATGTCACATTAATTTCCTTAATTCTTTTGACAGTAATAGCTTCATCGTGTTGTAAAAAAATTAATAAAGTGATAACTCTTTGTGGAAGTGGGCGCAAATCTTTTACTATAAGGAGATTTTAGAAATCTACATTTCAGCTCACTGTTCAGGTCTGTGACTTTTGGTTCAATCATATGACTCCGATCTGCATCATTTTGAGCCAGAGCAACGTCAAAGTCAAATATATGAAGCACTTTTAAAAACGAAAGTTGAAGTGCTGTACATTTAAGATAGCAAACCAAAAAATAAATCTAAATAAAAAGGCAGTAAAATAATAAAGGATAATGGATATAACACAATAAGGAATGAAGTCAGGGTGTCAAGCTCTACTTAAATCAAATGCCAAAGAAAAGAGGTGAGTTCCACATTTTTTCCAGAATCTGAATGGTTCTTACATGCAAAGTTAAAGCGTTCCACAGATTTGGAGCAGGCATGGGGGTAGCTGGATGATGGTGGATGGAGCAGAAAATAAAGTTGTTGGAGTATAATAACACGTATGTGGTATATACAGTGGTTCAGAGTTAAGGATTTATAAAGCTGTTTCTATATTTCACTTAGGAGCTGGTGGCTATTTTGCTCTGCTTAAATGAGGCTGTGGTTATAAATTTACTTTCGTTTTCTTGGATTAAGATCGTCTGTGTGCTACTTTACTGCAACATTTTCTGCAAAATATTTTCAGATGAAGAGAGGACCATTCAAATCTGACATTCCTGCTAAAACGTAGGTGGTGAGGTCTGCATTTTTTATTTTTTTTTTTGTCAAATGTGGTTATTCAGAAAGGTGCGCTTGCATGAACACCTGCCTGCAAGGTGCTACTCAGGGCATTAAGGCCCCAGAGAGTACCATGCAGCAGTAGAGTGTAGCTGCCCGCAGAGTTTGCCTGATTAAAAAAGCACAAACTTTGCTCTGGAAGTGTTTCTCGTGTTAAAGCAAGAGTTGTTTTGTATTAAAAACAATTCAGATTACATTCGAGCGCTTCACCGATTATATGCGTGTGTACTTTTCTGATTTGTCGACGTGTTCTTGTGGCTCCGTTGTGTTTACGTGTGCACACTTGAGCAGGCGTGTCCTCAGCGGCTCCTGCAGCTCTGCCATATTGGCACCAAGTGAACATTTTGGCACAGTCAGCTGGAGTTAGCAGGTAAAACTTTTTAAAAAGCCGTGAAACTTTGCACGCATTTTTCTGTACACGTTGCTTTCGTGTTGCTGTGACGCCGCTTTCTATCACGTTTATTTTATTTTTTTAATTAAAACAAATAGCAGCAATGTTCGAAGTGTTTGTTTGCTAACCAGCCGGTTAAGTTACTTGTGGTTAAAGTTAGTTTGACACACTGACAGTAGGTAAATATTGACAACTAAACACACTGCTTTACATTTACATTGCTTTTACTTGGACACAGTTAAATAAATAATTGAAATAGCTGCTGATTTAATCTCTGCCTGCCTCTCTTACTTAATTACAGAACACAACCAACAACAACAACAACAACCACCACATTGTTGCAGCTGAGATGATCCACAGCCTGTTCCTGATTAATCACTCAGGAGACATCTTCCTGGAGAAACACTGGAAGAGTGTCATCAGCCGAAGTGTGTGCGATTACTTTTTCGAGGCCAAAGAGAAGGCGGTGGACCCTGAGAATGTGGCCCCCGTCCTGCAGACCCCACATCACTATCTCATCTCCGTGTACAGGGGAAAGCTCTTCTTCCTCTCTGTGGTCCAGACCGAAGTCCCTCCACTCTTTGTCATCGAGTTCCTGCACAGAGTGGCGGACACATTTCAGGTGGGCTTTGTGGTTTGTGTCTAGAAGTGACTGGATTGTACTTCCTTGAGCTGATTTCTGTGTGAAATTGCCATTGAGAGAACAAGGAACTAAAGAGGAAGAGGCTTATTTATTTTGCACTTGAAGAACTTGAAAACCCTTCCTCCTCTGTATCCTGCAGAGATTGACAATGCAGTCAAAATGTACTTTAGTTCAATTGAGTAGCTGCCAGGTGATGTTTTTAAATTACGCCTTATGTGGCAGAGGGATTTACCAAATACTTACCCCAAAATAGCCCCAGAAAATGTATCATTCACATCTTATAGTAATCTTGCAATCCTGAATGTAATCTGTGGTGTTCACACAAAGACTTTAGACCCCAGTGCCTCCTTCAAGAACCCTGGTAAAACTGCTCCAAGTGTGGGAAGAAGTGCTATTTTCAGTACAAGCTCAAGGAACAAATGCATAAATCAAACACATCAGTGCACATTTAAGCTCTATCGGAAAGAAAATATACAGGTTCCAATGCTCACACAGATGATTGCTGCAAGCTCGAGGGAGATAAATGTCCAAAAGGAGACTATGCAAGAGACGTAACGTTAGATAACATCATTAAACCAGCAGACAAGGGTGTGTGTGTGTTGAAGTGTTTAGAGCGTGATCCGTACTGCATTTCTGGGTACGTCCCCGCTGCCTTTCGGAATGACAAAAGTGATTTAGTTATTTCTTTTGTACAGTCTCCAATCAAGTGATAATACATGTTGTAAAGCAAATGGTTTTAAAGTAGATTTTGTACTTTTCTGAATAAATGCTGGATTTTTCAGTGTGCTGTTGTACAGAACACAAATGCAGCGAAGAAGCTACTCACAGCCCCAACATGATAAAACAAGCTGCAGATAGTATTGAATAATTTCCTTGAAGTGCAGCAGGCAAGTATTTTGATTTCTTGTACTCACTCCAGAAACAGTATAGTACACATTGTATGTATTGCCCAGACTGTAGCACAGATTTAGGACGCAGCACGCAGACAATATAAGGTTGGGTTTTCTGCAACAGGCCTTTTTGTGTCGGTCTAATATTGGCTTTCGTATAACAGGTTTTTTTTTTTGTTGTCTACAGGACTACTTTGGTGAATGCTCAGAAGGCGTGATCAAGGACAACTTGGTGACCGTTTACGAGCTGTTGGAGGAAATGCTGGACAATGGGTTTCCACTAGCAACGGAGTCCAACGTCCTTAAAGAGATGATTAGGCCTCCTAATATCCTGCGATCGGTTGTCAATACGCTCACAGGTAAGCAGAGGTCACATTTATTCTGGTATTAAAAGTCAGCCTATGCTCGTGACCGATGTTTACTTACATCTGAAGCAAACTTTAAGTAAAATCTGCAATACGGGTCAGTGCATATGGACCATTAACCGATGTTTACAACTTATATATACATTTGCAGGAAAAACAAAAATTAAAATTTAGAATGACACAAACTCAACACAACAATTTTTTTCTTTATTCATGTTTTACCTATGATTATTTTAGATGACTGTAGAATTTTTATCTTTCGGAGTCGTTTGACTATTACTCATAATATGCAACCAATCAGACCTCAGAGTTGTGACAACAGACAGAGAAGAGGCAACATCACAGCTAAACTAGCACTATTTAAAATGAATTTATTTCTACTGGGAACTGATTAAAAAATGAAAAATATAAAAGTGCTGAATATCTGATCCAACAATCATCAGAGTAAACCCTACTATCTGTAATGTTAATGTGCGCATTAATGTTTTTCTTTTCATTTTGTCTGTTTTCCAGGAGGTAGTAACGTTGGAGACAAATTGCCGACAGGTCAACTGTCAAACGTCCCATGGAGACGAGCTGGTGTTAAATACACCAATAATGAAGCATACTTTGATGTGATAGAGGAAATAGATGCAATTCTGGACAAATCAGGTACAACAACCACTTATTTGATCACGACAGATGAAGACTGTATTCATATCAATGAGAAGTGTTTTCTTTTTTTTCCTATAAGCTTATATAATTATAATTGGTCACAAACTTTCTCATGCAGGGACGACAGTATTCGCAGAGATCCAGGGTGTAGTTGAAGCCTGTGTGAGACTCACTGGGATGCCTGACCTGACTCTGTCCTTCATGGTGGGTTCATTTCCTCCTACCTCTGTGTTTTTCTGTCGGCGCTTTAGTCTTGCTTGCGTATTTGTCCAAGTTTAAAATTCACTCACAGTTGTGTTTGATGACAGAATCCTCGTCTTCTCGATGACGTGAGTTTCCACCCGTGTGTGCGGTTTAAGCGCTGGGAATCCGAGCGTGTCCTGTCTTTCATCCCACCGGATGGAAACTTTACGCTCATGACGTATCATGTCAGCTCTCAAAAGTAAGCACAGGCATCACAGTATGTCATATTTCATATTTAAATAAAATAACAGTATTCACCCTACAGCCGATCAGTCAGTTTATTGAATTGAATTAGTGAATTTGGTTTAAATACATGATCTGATAATCAATGTATTCTAGCAAAGAGGAAATCTTTGTCTTAATAATTTCTCAGATGTCAGTGTATGTGCATAGATTGAAAGTCTGGTTTTAATTCTCCAATAAAGATCTGCACTTCTTATTTCACTTGTAAACACAAACTGCCTGCTGTCTGCCTTTGTGGTCACTTCTGTCTGTTGTTTCCTTCCTCAGTCTCGTAGCCATTCCAGTGTACGTGAAGCAGAACATCAGTTTCTTTGAGTCAGGATCTTGTGGTCGCCTGGATATTACCATCGGACCCAAGCAGAACATGGGGAAGACGGTGGAGGGCTTGATGGTCACCATCCACATGCCTAAAGTTGTGCTCAGTGCCAACCTCACGGCCACACAGGGAAACTACACCTACGATCTGGCTACCAAGGTAAGCAGCCACCTGTAAGGCTGTAATTCAGTAGGGATGTGCTAAATGAGAAGTTAGATGGCTTTTCACTTTTCAATGTGGACCCTTTTGTCCAATTGGCCGTCACACTGCTCAGTTTTTGTAGATTTTTTTGTAAAGGATTCACAACAAAACTGCATACATTTTGCCCATCTTTCTTGTATGTGTTAAATTTGTAACCAGTGTAGCATTAAAACTGAATGAGATTTCTTTTCATAATGATTATTTTCTTTTTAACCCTCTGAATTGAAAGTGTTTTCGTGATAGTCTTTTTCCTTACTGTGGTTTGAGTTTTCACTCCAGCATAAAGTTGTGCTCATCTATGGAAAAAGCACAGCCATGGTTACGTAGAGGGAAGTCAAAAATGTCGTACCACAAGTAAAGAAATTCTTTAGATTTGAAAATACAGAAAAAGAGAGTTGAAAAGTATTGAAAAAAACCTGAAATTAGCATGAACAACATTTTTCCAGGTGCCTACAGGTGATACCGATACTTAAAAAAAAAAAAAAAAAAAATGATATGGAAATTTCTAAATATTTTACTACTTACATTTTGAATTTATTTCCAAATAAACACATCCTACAGTCCACCCAAGTTCAGCTGAAAAGTCTGTCATGTCACTGTCGGTCGCAACTGAGTCACTAAAGGCTTCTCAGTTGGACCTAGCAGCGCAGATTTTAATTTTTTTGTAACAGAATCTAGTTATTTTAAAGTGCTTATTTTTAGCCAAAGATGCAAAATAAAGGGATTGAGCAATAAAATGTGTCTTTCTGTTTTCAGTTTCTGGCTCTGATAAATAAGGTTGTTTTTGCTGTTTAAAAACGAAACAAAACAAAACATGCCTTTCAAACTTGCCACGAGGTTTGAGTTTTCAGAGGGTTAACGACACATCAGCCAAAAACATTTATGCCATTAAAGGGGGAATTGCAGACCAGCTGGCTCTTTCAGATGGTTGTTACTGTTCTACATCTTTGATTTGTTGTGTAGTAAAGCAGTTGCTGTAAATTTGACAAGACATGGTGGTGTCGGGAACAGTCAAACTAAAACTGAACAGCATTCACTCTGTCTGTTTTGGTAGGTGGTGGTTTGGGACATTGGGAAGCTTAACCCCCAGAAGCTTCCTAACTTGCGAGGCAGTCTTAGTCTGCAGGCAGGAGCCCCCAAACCTGACGAAAACCCCTCTCTCAACATTGACCTGAAGATACAGCAGCTGGCCATATCAGGTAATCCTCGCTTCCTGATGTTTTAATCTGACTTCAGAAACATTACTAATCATTCCATGTAGCTCTGTTACATCTGACACCGTTAATGGTTGCGGTCGCATGAACAGCGTTAAAGATGATCCTCTCCACTGCTCCACCTGACCTCTCTCCTCTCTGTGCAGGTCTTAAAGTGAGTCGCCTCGACATGTATGGGGAGAAGTACAAGCCATTTAAAGGGGTCAAATACTTGACAAAGGCGGGCAAATTCCAAGTGCGGACCTGAGTTACGACTGTCAAGAGGCCAAAGGTCAGCAATCCAATGTGCCAAATAGGAGGCCAGATTACCACACTGCTGAGCCATCTCACCGACAAGACTTACAGATCCACTGCCTCATTGTTACTAATGAACAGTTCTGCATTCTAACAGTTATTTATTATATGTTTGGCATTAAACACACACCACACACACACACACACACACACACACACATACATACATATTTACAGTGTACTTACTGAAGTATTCATCCCTCTCTGAAGATTTCCCTTTTCAATGCTTTTTAACATTGGATCATAGTCAATATATTTTTTTCTTCTTTTTTGATATGAGTTTACAAAAACAATTTCATGTCAAAGTGAAAACAAATTTCTACAAAATCATGTCAGTTGCTTCAAAATGTAAAATCTAGAAGTGATTGTATTCACTCCGTTCAAGCCAGTATTTAGTAGATACCCATTTGGCCATATATACAGCATTGATGTGGATAGGTCTCCATCAGCATTGCACATCTGCACTCTGCAATTTTACCCTGTTCTTCTTTGAAAAACTGCTATTGTTCTGTCAGTATGCACAGGGATCAGTTCAAGTTATGATGCTGCCACCACCATGTTTCACAATGGATATGGTGTATTTTTTAATTATGTGCAATGTTTTATGTCTGCCAAAGATAGCGTCTGGTCTGATGGTCAAAAAGCTCAGTTTTGGTCTCATCACTCCAAAGAACCTTCTTTCAGTTCACTCCTGCTGTAGGAAGATTTATGCACATGCTGCGTTTCTTCAGTTTCTCACTAATGGATTTAACTCTACTCCAAATGATATTCAGTCACTTGGGTATTTTTTATATTTTTTTTTGCATTAACCCCCTGACTTATGCTTTTCAAAAACTTTTTCATGGACTTATTTGAAGGGTTATTTTTGTTTTTAATGGTCTTGTTATAGCCTTGAGTATTGATTGACCAGTCACTGGACCTCTCTAGATACAGGTGTCTTTATACTCCAATCACTTGAGAAACATTTGCTGCACTCAGAATGGTCTCCATTTCAACACCAAATAGCTGTATTGAATTAGGTGGCTCACTTTAAAGGAGGGGAATACTTATGTAGTCACTTATTTTTTAGAATTCATTTTGAAAAATAATTGACAGGAAATAATTTGACATGAAAGACTCTTTTTTTTGGGGGGGGAGGGGAATTGTTGTTGAAAAAAGCCAAAATTGACAATGATTCAGTGCTGGAAAGCATTACAAAGCAAAACGTCAAAGGGAGGGGTCAATACTTTTTTATAGGCACTGTATATATAGATATAAATATATAAATGGTTTTGTGCCTGTAAAGGGAAGCCTTAATTATCAGTATGTCTTTGTTTAAGTGCTAGTAGTTTCTATCCAGTTTAAATGTACTGCTATGTATGGATCATTCCTTTCTTTTTTTCTTTTTCCCTTTCTTTCTTTCTTTTTTTTTTTTATCTAACACCTTCTGAGTGTTGCTTAAGGGGAATATTTTGATTTGAAAAAGGACACTTAAAGTTCACTGCCTTGCTCATCGTCGCAAACAAACAATCTTACCTGCATGTTGCCTGAAAGTAAACAGACACGCCTTCGAAAACCTTTTTACTTAAGGTAGCCAGTTTTATATATATATATATATGTTTATTTTTGAAAAACCTAATGTGTCTTGAGGCACTGTCTTTAGTGCAGGAAGTTTTGCACATATTCACTCCTTATTGTGGCCTTTTTAGAGTAGGCTTTGTGTAGCACACAGTACAGCACAGACCGCATGTTCCGGACACCTGAAGCAAGAATATTTTATAGAAACATATCTTATCTCTAAGGTACACAGTTTGACGTATGGATGGTGTAATTATAAGTTAGTGATTCAGGCAGTTTGGTGGGAACAGTTGTGCAAACAGCACTCTGAAGTCTAAAAGATTCTCACACAATCGTGAATGCAACATCTTTTATATACAGTCTATGTTCTTTAATCAGCACAGCATTTGCACAATCAGATGTCCACGTGGAAAATACTACTTAAAGCTCTTGTATGAAGTTGAATCTGTATTTCTGTTTATAAGATATCTTATAAAAGCTTTAAAAAATGTGACTATATGTGCTTTTTTTCTATTGGCCTGTTGATTGGTAGATCCACCAGTTTGGTTCAGTGAAAAATCTCAACCATTGGATGGATTGCCATGAAATGTGTCTAGTTATTCACTGCACACAGGGGATTAATCCTACTGACTTTGATGATCCCTCGATGTTTTGTCTTAGTACCAATAAGCTGACTTTTGTGTGTGAGATATGCTGCCAACAATTAGATGACATTTGGTGCTGGCATTTGTATCCCCTTTAATAAATTATAAGGAAGTGGGTGATTTGCTACCGTTTCATGTAGTGCCACCAGCAGAGCAACATTTTATTATGTCCAATACTTTGCTGCACTGAACTAATGATAGTGTTACTGTGTGTTTAGTGTCAAGTAGCAAATGCTGGCACGCTAACACAAGAATCTGTGTTGGTAAATATGGTAAACATACACGTCAGACTTGGCTCAGTTGAAAGCATCACTCTGTCTCACTCATTTTATGCAGCAGTACTTATGGAGGCTCATGAAGGCGAGTTAAGAGGCCAACTCCACTCATCTTTATAATCTTTTATTCTTCCAAGGCACAGCAGATGTGTTGGCAGGGCTAGAAGCTATCAGAATACATTCAGGGTGTGAATGAACACATCAAGTACACACAGATCTACACCCTGTCGCTCTCAGTGAGGGGTCAGTGACTGCTACATGCTCAGTAGGCCCAAATAAAAATGAAAATGCAGTTGACATTCTGTGCTGCTGTTCAGAGCCGTATCCCTGACCGCCATGGGGACGGCTCACTAATATCGTTCAGGTGAAGAGACTTCACACAGACACACACACACACATACAGATTCTCCATTTAACAGTTAACGTCAGCCAGCCATTGTAAAAAATAAGTGTAAAAACATCCTGTTGAGGGAATGAAAATATGCATTCACTGATCTGATTACATGTAATATTGAGTCACCAATCTTTTTTCCTTTAATCCCAGATAGAAACACTCATTTTAAATATTTTTTTTATTTAAACCTGAATATATGTAGACTGTTAGGCTGGCATCAACACCTGATATCACATTAAAAAAAAAGTTACTTTTGTTCTCAAACCACCGGGGTCATCTTAAAAAGAAAAAAACAAAGTTTTTTAAGTGATGCTTGAGAGCATCAGAGTGGGACTACTGAGCTCACAACTGGAGAAAAAAAAATCATTGGCTTTGATAACTTTTGAAAAATCCCAAACAGTTCAACTGTTACATAGAGTGCAGACACAAAGAACTACAAGTAGTTAAAAAAAAACAAGAAAGAAAAAAAGCAAAGCCGAGGGAAACACTCAACTTTGTTTTGATGAAAAATAACAGACCTCAAAAAGTATTCCAGGATCTCTAAAGAAAATGGTCTGTAGTGTTGTTTGTAATAACCTGGATATCGAGTGTTAAGAACTTAGAGTAAAAAAAATCCTTTGGCTTTGTTCACTGTGAAAGTTAAATAAAATTAAAACATAAAAACTCAAAACACACATTAAAAACATCTCAGCTAAACTTTTACCGTGAAAACCTCTTCCTCAATCAACAAAATACAGCTTTGCGATTGACAAACATACACTTTTTTTTTCAAATAATACAATTGCTTTTAAAACAGTATCATCTGTATCTATGACGCCTTTAATCCACAAGACCTTTCAGTTGTTCAAGTATAACTGTCATTGGACAGCAGTGATGATGTGTCACCTTTGAATTTGTAGATCTTTAGTTAAGAACAGCGTCATTACTAAAAGTAAACATGAAGAGAGGAGAGCCCGTCAGCTCACACAAGACTCCACACTTTAGTGTTAAACTCAGTTAATAAAGCTTATAGCTGAGTATTGTCTATAAAACAAATAATTATTGTATGTACATTAGACAATAAGAAACTCTCACTGAAAAAACTGAATGCAAAGTAAACGTCCTCTAGGAGATAAGTATCTTGATGTCATAATTTGCCTTTAGAAAATAGAAAAAATTTTCATGCAAAAAATATATACCTGGGATTTGGATAAAGTCTCGTAACACAACATACCAAAAATATATATTAAAAACTGTCTCTGATAAGCCTGCGTGACTCCACAGTTACAGATTAAAGGAACTGGAGAGCAAAGCTGAACTCACTCCGATAAATGAAACCTGCATGTTACCAAATCTTAGCGGTTCCTGATGCACACACCCAAACTACAGTGGAGAATGGCTCAAAATCCTGCAGTTTCCTCTTGAGGTGCACATGCTGACTCATAGTGAGTCAGCACATCGCTACGTTTACTCAAGGTTTGTGCTATTGATGCAAAGTTAAGAGTGTTTACTCGTTTCAGTGACCAGGTATGTTTACTGGTACCACGGGGTCTTGCGCACCCAGCGGAGGGTGAATCCTGCGTCTGTGCGGATCTTGATGGAGGCTGCTTCCGCTTCTCTGACCGTCTCCTTCACTGACTGCATCAGATTCTGAGCGTTGTGGACCAACATCTCTGTGGCCTGGTCAGGGAAACATTCAGAAGTGAAGCAGTTAAGAGTGAAATAACAGAGATGGAGTGAAAACAGTGGGATCAGATGTTTTACTTAAGTAGAAGTACCAACACTATAAGTACAATTAGAAAAGTAAATTTAAAACAAAAATGGCCCTTGTAATCAATATATTATGTATTACATTAATATATTGTGTAAGCAGCGTTTTAGTGTTGTAGCTGGTTGATGTGGAGCTCGTTTAAATACTTTATATATTGTTAGGTAATTTAGTCCAGCTTAGGGGTCAGACCCCACTGATCACAATATAAATCTGAGGATGTGATTAAGCTTGTATGAAAGAAAAACTATGATATAATGTTAGGCTACATGTTTTAATCTTGGACTTTTCTCTACTTCAAGTTTTTTGTTGAATAGTGGATGATGCCATGTCTTTGAATCTGCAACTTTTATGAGGTCTAGAGGGGAAACATCTCCCCTGCTTGGTAAACCTGCTTGATTAGTTGTACTTTCCAACACTGTTAGAATTATCAGGGCTGCACTGATCCGATATGTCCACTCAGTATATGCACAAATGTTAAGTTGATCAACTTTTGACCCTGATAGGACCAATTCACCTTTGATACTGTCACCTTAGATGTCTTTGAAACTGAGTTACATTCACTAACCTATAGCAGGCCACCAACTCAGCTTTTAGCACAACAAATTGCGTAACGGAGGTTCTAATGAGTGGTGCACTGAGGTATAAAAGAGAATACGTAGTATTGAGGTGGTGCTCTGCATGGGCGGATGCTCTGAGCTGAAGTATTAACAAAGGGAAGGTTTGATGGTGCATCCCTGTAACTTCAGTGCAGTTCTGTGAGTTTACCTGCTCTGACTCCTCTTCACTGATGTTTGTTCGTCCCAGCATGGTGGCTTTGACAGTAGACAGAATCTTCAGCTGAGTACTGATGGTGGGGATTCGCTCGCAGACCTTTGGAAGGAGGGAAATATGTACGCTACTTTCTGTTCAAGATGTAGAGACAGTTTGTGTCTGCATTAGTTTGTCCTCACCTGCAGCAGGTTAGTTCTGATGCGTCTGTCGGTGCACTGCTTGGCCACCTCTTTAGCCAGCCTTGTCACCTCATCTGAGGCCTTGGCAATGTCCTTAGCACACTGGATCAGCGCCCTTTTGTTCCCGCTTCCACCGCGCACCAGGCGAGACATTTCTGCCATCAGCAGAGCCATCCGCTTGGCTGCTGCAATGATGTCGTTACCCTGTGAAGAAGGGGGGGATGAGGCAGAGGAGGAAGCAGTAAGAACTGCGATCGGAGCAGCTTGGCTTTGGATTAGAGAGATCAGAATGGAAACATTTCGCTTGAGCCATGTTTCCGCACATCTTTCTCATAATTGAATGTGGGAGAATGAAAGCAGTGCTATCAACCACCTAGCAAATGCTGGTGCTTTGTATTAAAAAATTTGAATTACAAAAGCCAAACAGCATTATATTGAAGCGTGAACGCTGCATGCAGTGTAAGTGCAAATTATCACATGTTCTTCAACCCTCATGAAAGGAGATCAGGGATTTTTTAAAAATTTAAACAACTGAGGTTCTCACCGTGTCCCTTCCATCATGAGGTTAGTTTCCATGAGGTGATGTTCACAGTGTTTAAGTAATTAGTACACACCCTGAGGCTAAGAAGCAGAAGCAGGTGGTCATAGTGGAAAAGCAGGCGGTCTAACGTCAAAACTACATCACCCAGAAGTCTTTAGGAAACTGTCATCCTTGGCTTCACAGGTTGGCCAGACAACGAATGATTGACAACAGTGAGACGGAGCGCCTGGCTCCTCCTTTGAACCACTTTACCTAATTGTGAACATAAGGGAGGGACTTGTGAAGCCAGCATCAGTTTATCCACGTGGTGCAACAAACAAACTTGCCATTCCCACAGTCCTCGACCTTTAGTGCAACCTTAGCATGGCATCAGCATGACCGTGTGTCTGAGTGTAATGCAACAACAGTACAACAGCAGCTGCAGCTGGTTGGAGGTTTCCATGGTAGTGGCAGATGCAGAGCTTATTGTTGGCACAGTCCGCTAGTACTCCAGGGTGTTTCTTGTCCTGTGGGCCTTTCCTTGTGGGGGTGCATTTATCTGTTTGCATGCGTGGATGTACGTGCATGAGTGTGTGAGGTCAAACAGTACTTTATGATCCTCCCAGCTGCTCAAAACACTGGGGGCCTTTTACAAATACTGTCTGACCCACATTTGGTTGTGTGTGCGCTCATATGCATGTATGTGTGCAGACCTTGCTGGACCACTTGCGCGCCTCCTGGTGGAGAGACTGGGCAGCTGCCAGAATGGGTTGATTGACAGGCTGGTTGGAGGGCATCATCAGCAGTTCTGGCTCATAGTCATCCTCACCATCAGTAAACTCATCTTCATCATCTACCTCCCTCTCCTCTACTGCCTCCTCATCCTCAGGCTGGGCCGGGCAGGAGGGGAGGGATTGGTTGTGGTAGTTGGAAGAGCAGAATTGATTGGGGATGGGAAGG